TAGTTGTCCTACCAGAGCAGAAGGAGATAATCGGTCTGAAAATAAACAGTCCCTGTGCTGTTTCCAGCTATGGTATAGCACGACTGGTAGGTAGAAGGGCATATGTGAAAAACAGAGATCACTCTTCTGGAGTCCCCAACAAGCCCTGGCGGTTTATTTTGCAAACCTTTCCAACGGACAATATCTTCTTGACGAAAACAAACATCTCCAGTTACTGTATGTTTGCTCTTCTGAATGATCGGTGCTGTAGTTGAACCTGGAATATAGTTCCAACGAGTTGTGCCTTTTCAGGAGCAACATAATCGCTGACCGATTTGAGATGTCCCGTGTTTCTTGTGTCCTGTGGTGCCCAGGGCCCTCCATGTCGGCTGACAACGACTTTTTATTCCAGCACAGAAAACAGAGGAGCAGGTCTGATCTGAAGGTTTACAGTGTCAAATCAGATGCTCTTTTTCCAAGGATACTAAGACTCGTTATGGCACTCCTTGGCTATAGCTGGGAACTTGTGAAGATAAGGCCTTGATGTCTCCTTTTCTTTTGTGCCACATTCCTTGTTCAAATGATTTTTATTTCAAGATGGTGTAACTGTTTGTTTTTGGCTGTAATGTTCAAGGCAGGTGTGTCAGTGTTTTGATTTGTGGTCATGTCAGTATAGGATGTCATGGATTCAACAAGGTGAGGGGATCGGGAGAAGAGGATTTCCAGTTGGGGTCTCTTCTCTTCATTTTGGGGGTTTCTTTTGTTACTGTTTGGGATAGGGGAAGTCTATAGTACTGTTTTAAAAGAAATGTTAAGAGTTTTATTTCCATCGGTTTTATTTTTTCTCTTCCTTCTTCAGCTGCACATTCAAATCATTAGCTATTCCTCTTTGACCAATGAATAATGTCTGTTTTTTCAATAATGACAATAATGTCCGTCATTGAAAGCACGCAGACTTAATTTTTAAAATGTTATAACCACATATACTAACTGTTTAGATTTATTCAGAAAGAGAAAAACAGATGTCACCATTAGACAGGGGGGTCACCTTTGAAACACCAGATATGTCTGTTAATTGTAATAAATATCACATGTCAACCTGCAGAGAACAAAACAAAGGGGGGCTTTAATAATTGTACTGCAGGTTAATTTTCATCTTGCATCTGCTGATGTTCCCCACCTCTGCCACAACGGCTCGGATGATCAGCTCATCCTTTGATCACACATCTTTTGATCAGTTCAGTGGGAATCTATGGTCAATTCTAGATCCTATGGGTTCAAAATCAGGGTTGATTAATATGGTTAAACTTCTTTTTACCACTTTGGCAATGGTGACAGGCACATGTTCACGCATGTCAGCAATAATCACTTTCCCTTGTTTGTTTACCCCGTCTTTGGAGCCACTATCTCAAGCTAGTTCAGGTGGGTAGCTGCGTCAGTATGCGTAGGCTGCAAAGGAACAAGTAATAGGTTTATTCCAAGCTGAAAAGAGAAGAAAGAAAACACAGCATTTCGGCCAAGCAGCCTACCACTATCCAGTCTGTATCCCGTTTCCCTTTTAACAATGCTCGGCATTGCATATCACCCTGGTCTGATGATAAATTGTCACATGTAGGCGGTGTAACCCATTTCCTGCCTCATCTGCTAACTATTAGCAATGATTTAGTATTCTGTCAGAGTATACTGTAAAATTAATTTGTCCAAGTATTTCTTTCTTTAAATATTGCCGTGGAGAAAATAAGCTTGCCTCCAACTGGTGAGACACTTCAGGCACCTAACTACTGAGTTTCTCTGTTCTCTATCTGATATCACAGTGAATACGTTCAGTAATGTTCTTAAACGGATACACACTGACCTGAACAGATGGGCACATAAGAACAGTGAATGTATTTTCATGCCTTCTATGCTTTTAGGGTCCATGGAGAGATTACATACTCAAATTTCTAAATCTGTATGGAAAGTGAAATGACTACAGTCTAAGTTCTCCATTCAGCCACACGAAAGATCTTTGGGGGGGGGCAGTTTTGCCTGACTTTTCTATTTCTCCTTTGTTTTGCAATCACTCCTGTGTCTTGGCTCGTGCTTGCAGTAGGTCTCGTGTCTGTATAGATCTCTACATCAGGATTTAATTTACTCTAGTGGTTCCCCTTAGACACTATAGATTGATTTTTGGCCCAGAACCTATGCACATAATTAAACCTTGGAATCCGGTGGAAAACTTCAAGAAATCTCAGAAGACAAAGCCATCTCACTTTCCTAATTTCCATTACCACAAATTATTTAGTAGTAATTCTTTTTCCTCTCGTAAAGGGATTGCATTCTAGGACAGAGAGTATTTTGAAAGTGGACGGTCTTTGCTCATTCCAGGATTTCCAGTCTAAACAGAGCTTCCTGGCTGTTGTTCCTTTTGGTACTAACTTTAGTTTCCATTCTGCAGTTCTGGCCTATGACTTTCCACTGGGGGTGACCGTCTACACACCCAATTATCCATAACCTGGCCGATTCCAGGGATAATGCAAAATTTTTGCAGATGTTTCATACAGTCCTTCCGCAATTGTTACTATATGGAATGAGGATGTGAATGTTACAGGGATGTCCTGGGACATTAAGGACAGGACAAGTGCATTGAAAGTGAATGGACGGTAATCTGGTACAATAAAAGTTTAACAACTGATCACACAAAATCCTGGGTTTCTGATATTCAGGGTATGGCTGTTACACAGTCATGCAGATATACAGTACATAATAATGCGTGTTATCATTTGTTCGTATCACACTATCAAGTATTATTATATTTCACAAAAATCCAGCAGCAGGCAAAGTGCAGCAGTGAAAGTCATCGGTGTTGCTTTATAAGAGTGTGCACATTTGTTAGATATCCCACACAGGCAAACGCCTCATTATAAAGAGGGTTTTCTGATCCTTATGCCCTTAGCCAGCTGCATCTAAAATGTTTGCCGCAGTTTCAGAGCCAAGTCTAGACGCTCCTAGCAAATATGTTGTTCTGCGCCTTGTGTATTTGATATATGTAAAAAATTGGTTTACAAAGGCGGTGTGTGTCTCTATGTTTGTTTCTCAAATGCGTTATCAGCCATTTCCTAGTAAAACAGCAATAAACAAATCATGCCGACTCATGCATAAATTATGAGACTCCACAAGTGTTTAAAGCTTACAAAACACAATGGATAGCAAGTATTTTTTCTACATCATTAAATTTAACTCATCCTGAGCACCTAGCAGGAATTGCTTTTCATCAGCAACAGAGAGACTGCAATTGTCTTTTAAAAATGTATTGTGAGAAACCTGTCTGTCAAACTCAGTCGACACAAGATGAAACACCTGTCTCTCCTCTTGGTCATATTTGTTGCCTACAGCTGGCTTATTAGATGTGTAAACAGCAACCATTCATTCAAAAGGTAAAATTACTTGCAGCTTGTTTGACATCAGCCTTTTGGACATCACTTGAAGGTAAAGGCAAACCTTTTGTGGAGCTGGATGTTATATATTATGTATATGTTATATTGTACATGCATATCTGAGATATCTGAGAACATGTAAGGCAAATCTTTTTGTATACTGTACTGTTAAGATTAAATTGTCATTTTAGCTATTTAATATACAATATTCCTCTGTGGTATGTGTATGATTGATGCATGAAAGTGATTTAGCAGTGTCTGCTAGCTGAATATACTGTATATATATATATGTGCATGTCCTGCATCTTATATTTTAATATATTGCACAAAGAATTATAATATATTGTACAAAGAACCATGTATAAAATATACCGTTCATCTAATATTAAAGAAATTTAAAATAGTTAGACAATTGCAAATGTAATCAAATAAAACAGCTTTTAAAATGGAGCATCCGTAAAGAAAAAGAGCAGACATTGCTTTCATTGTCTAATTTTAAAATGGCAAAAACAAAAAAAAATTCTGGGACAAGGTTTTTCCTTTTTAAAAGAAATGATTTATTCTGACAGTCTGGCAGACTGAATAATAGCACTGAAACTAATTTATGTGGAAAAACATTTCAGAAAACATGTAAATTGGATTTTGCAAAGATGTTATTGATATATCAACATGGTCATGACAACTGTGATGACTTAGCAGACTGAAAAAGTTTCAGGTTTCTCTAAAAAAATATGCTTTTATCAGCCTTGGCTGAAAAAAATGAGCCATACACTAAGAGCTGAGGAATATTAAATTAATGTTACCAGTTAAGGTTTTGTGAAAAACAGAGTTGATATTGCTGCATGAAAAATGGGCCTTGATGCATTTTAAATTAAGTTTGAACTGTATTTGTTTTGCTTCTTTTCCCAATTGGCATATTGAGTATTCCCTGAATCAAGATCTGAAATCTTAGAAGAGAATCTAATTTGCTGGAACCAGGTATTCAACATTCTAATTTCAAACAAAAGCATACAGTGTCTCTGTCAAAGTCATCATTAGGTAATTACTATTTTTTATTATTATTTAATTATTTACTATTTTATTATTCACAGAAGGTGCCATTCTTCTGATGAGATGTAAAACCAAGGTCCGGACTCTCTGTGGTCATTAAAAATCCCAAGGTGTTTCTCGAAAAGACTAGGGCTGTTACCCTGGCGTCCTGAATAAATTTTCCATTGGCCATCTCTGAACTGGCTTCATCACTCTGCTCTCCTCCCCACTGAGAGCTGGTGTGTGGGGAGAGGACTGGAGCGTCATCCAGGTGGGGCTGCACACTTGTGGTGGTGGAGGGGAGTCCCCATTACTTGTAAAGCACTTTAAGTGGAGTGTCCAGAAAAGCACCATAAAAGTGTAAGCAATTAATATTACCAGCCCAGAACCCTGACCACTGCTGGACTCTGGCTCATCTCAGCAGGTGGTAGTTGTTCTTAGATCTTAGATGTGGGGACAGGAGAGAGAGAGAGATCACTTTATTTAAAGAGAGAAGATTGTTTTTGTTGAACTGATGTTCACAGAATTATTCGTATATGTCATCACCCCTGATTTCCCTACAGTAAGTGGTAACGAACTCTTGGGCACCCTCTCTGTCCCTCCCACCTCGAATCTCCATGACAGAAATGACACTGACCATAGGCACTTCCCTCTTCAAATCTGGGCAAAATAACTTTCTTCTTTGTTTACCAGGATATAAGAAGCAGAACAATCGCCATCTCCTATCACTTTTATATTAGCATGCGTTTGCTCACTCCTTAAGGACAACTAGGAAATAAAAAATGCTGATTTCTGAAATCAACTCTCATACGCTTCACAAATCTAGGTTCTATTAACCTGCAAACTGCAGACGAGAAAATCAATACAGTGTTTCTCAACAATCGTTGATGCTTTCCACAGCCACAAAACATTCTGCCGAGGAAAGTGAAGTGAGTAAATCAAATATTTTATTGTTCTGTACCGTCCTTATTGCTGTGGATTAGATATTCATTTTCTCACGTGATTTATTCTGCCTTCAGGACTGTTTAGATAAGGCAGTGTTACTGCCGGTTGAGTTTTTAGTAGAAGTGAAGAGGATATTACAAAATCGCTTAGAGGTTTAAGCAAGAATGCATTGTTCTTGTACAAATCGTGGATGAATTTAGTCAATGATACTGTTAGTAATCGTTCCATCATTATGGACATCCTATAAAATTTGTATTTTGTGGTTCACCATTCTTTGTTTCTAATGTATTGACAACAATTTTAACAACTAATTTAACAATCAAATGAATCGATGAAGTGAATAGAAATTGATTGCCAAGTCAAATTGCTTAGTGGAATTACAATTTCACTTTGCTATTTGATTTTGGGCAATACTTGTTTCACTATATCAGTTAACTATGATGTATGTCTTATGATGCTTTTCAACAAAACAGAACAAACTGAAATATTTAGAAAAATAAGATTAAGTTAGCATATGTCTACCGCAACATTGGAAATCTACTGCGGTGGCCAACTGTTTCTTATTAAAAGACAAATAGTGGGGTGTATTATCCCATTCCCTTCTGCAGGGCTGTGCCAGGGTTGTATATCCCAAAAATCTGAATCCCATTAAGATTATCAGTATAGTCATAAGAACTTTTTTAAAAATTTTTTTGTAAATGAACAGAAAGTTTTTTTTTTTCAGTTTGACCATTTTTTTCCTTTGATGCAAAACAGGTTGAGCCCATGGAAGTCACCGAAAGTCCTGGAGACATTTACAACATCAGCAACTCAACTCAGCTAAGCATCAACTGCTCAAGGGACAGCGCAGTGAGCAGAGTTGTGTTCCCCGTGCTCTACACTGTGCTCTTCATCCTGGGGTTGTTCCTCAACAGCCTGGCCGTCTGGGTGTTCTTCCAGATCCCCAGCAAATCCAACTTCATCGTCTATCTGAAAAACATTGTGGTAGCCGATGTGATCATGACTCTGACTTTCCCCTTCAAGATTTTGCGCGACTCCAAGCTGGGTCCATCATACCTCAAAGTCTTTGTCTGCCAAGTGTCCTCCGTCGTGTTTTACTTCACGATGTACATCAGCATCATCTTTTTCGGATTAATAAGCATTGACCGCTACCAGAAAACTATAAATCCATTCGACAGGGCAAAACCTCTGAACCTGGTTGGCGTGAAGCTCCTGTCAGGGGCGATCTGGCTCGTCATGTTCTCGATATCACTGCCCAACATGATTCTGACGAAGAAGAGGCACGAATCTCGCTCTTTCAAGTGTGCTGACCTCAAAACAGAGTTTGGCTTGACCTGGCATGAAGTGGTTAACTACACCTGTCAGATCATTTTCTGGGGCAATTTAACGATAGTAACGTTTTGCTACATTTTAATAGCGAAAGAGCTGTACAAGTCCTACGCCAGAACCAGAAGCTCAAACCAGAAAGGGAGGATGACCATGAAAGTCAACGTGTTTCTCGTCCTAGTGGTGTTTTTCATCTGCTTCGTGCCTTTCCACTTTGCCAGAGTGCCCTACACCATGAGTCAGACCACTCTCTTCCGGTGTTCCCTGGAGACTGCTCTGTTTCACCTGAAGGAAACCACTCTCTGGCTGTCTTCCCTTAACTCCCTCCTCGACCCTCTCATCTACTTCTTCCTGTGCAGTTCCTTCAGAGCCTCGCTCTTCAAAACGCTGAACTTATCCACCCTTTCAAGGCCCAGTGTCGGGACTGCGGAGCAGAGGCATGACACTGAAAACACTCATTTGGGAGATTCTAATGTGTAGAAGTGATTGACTGATGTCACTGTGTTCTGTACATTACAATACAAGATACTGTAGCTTGTGCTAACTCTGTTAACATGCATCACAGTAAAGAAGAACACGTATGTTTGTTTGTAATCTGTCATTGTGATGTGAATTCCATCTAATGTTCAACATCTAATTAAACTAAATTGAGAGTGTTTTTTTTGTTAAGTTTAAGTTTTAAATTTAGATAAGAAGTACTGTATGTGTACCTCAATTCAGAGGCTTGCATGTGAAGCACCGTGTTCTGTTATCGCTATTCCATACATTATTGTCTTGCACAATGTCAAACTAACTGCATGCAAAGTTATCATATTAGGTGATAGACTAGGCATCAGCGTGCAATCGTCAGCACACAGTCTGTCTTGTCATTAGAGACCATGGAGCACAGCCCCCTCCAGAAAGAAAGAGATGGAAGAGAAAAAACGGACACTGAAAACTAGACAATGTCAAGTTTCACATTTTGTACTAAATAAAGTTCAGCAAAATGTGGATGGTAGTACCTGGGGTAAATAATAATACAAATTTTATTTTATACAACACCTTTAAATAAAAGTAACTTCACAAAGTGCTTTACAGTAAGAGGAGAAGAGGTAACAAAGTTAGCACAATTAAAAACGATAATTGAATAGAATAGAATGCAGAAGAAGATGCAGACGAAGACACAGATACTCAAGATACTGATCTGTTCACTCAGGATTTACATACCCCTGGAAAAAGGGCGTTGCAGTAATCAAAAAATGAAACTGTTGACCAGTCTTTTGGCAACATTCAGAGACAACTTTGGATGTAGTGTGGTGATATTTCTGACTTGGAAGAATGATGTTTTTACAATATTTTGCACTGGGGGGTTAAATGTCAACCTGGATCAAATATCACTCCCAGGTTCTTCCATTTAAATTGAAATTCAGTGCAGTGCTCTTCACAGATAGGTTGTCTCGTCTTGAATGGTCTTGGATGGATCTCCCAGTTTTGGACTCTGGACCGCGCCCCAGATTCCCACTTTGGACTGTCTGGACCTGTTTGCCCTTGCCACGCCCCCGAGCCCCGGATCACCATCATCATGCACCCCTCTCTGTCTTCCCGTCCTATCCTGCTGTACCTTCCTCAGATTTCCTTGTCCACTTACTTTCGGATTATACTGTCTGCACAGGGTCCTGAACTACTTTTGCATTACACAGCTTTCACATGATCAAAATCACTTTTTGTGCATGTTGTTCGCGTACTTTTTATACCTACAAAATAATGCTTTATTAATACAAAATAATGTTTTATCTTCCCTTGAGAAAAACAGAACAGGAAGTTGTGCTGCAAACCTCTTGTCAAATCTTGTCAGTTACTTAGCAACCAGTGAGTTAACCCCCCTGTGCAGTGATACAGTATGTCATAATCCCCAGATATTAACACTGGAGGTCTAGCACTGGAGAGTAACTTTTCTCCTTTGGCAGTTAATAAAAACTTTAAATAATAATAATTAGATCTTTGATCTCTTGATTATTCTAAAGGAAAAAGAAAACAGCCTGCACATTTAATAGCGAGCGGTGGGTAAGTATTAATATATTTCTTATTACTCTTGATAGATAAGATACATTGATTCAACAACCCACAGTAACATCCGTTTGCTGCTTTGTATGATTCGGTACAATCTCTACATTGGATTTTAATTGAGTGGGAGGTCTGTAAATAGTTTGGATTTTAATAGCAAAATAATAATAATGATCTTATTAGTGCAATTATTAGTAGTTTAAAAAATGTGGTGTCTCATCAATTCTTTCAACTACTGTGTATACACTTATGCAAATACACACAGTGTATGCATAAGTGCACGTACCATACAATGTATTCCTAAAGCTTTATAAACATTATTTCCAATTAAGATAAATTTACCCATGGCTTGGCAAGTAGATTGAGCACACAAATGAATAAATATGCAAGTAGACTGAAAACCAAGCCTTAATAAACCCTACAATGCAAAAGACACTCAACAATTAGACTGACTGGGACTAGCAATTATTACTAAGCTAATAAACATTAAATTAAATGCCCAGCGATCTTAATATCAAATATTCTATCACTTAATTCAGGACAAATCGAGATAATATTATTTTGGTTTCTACAGTATATATATATACACTCACTGCTTGTCTACTGCTGAAAACAAATAGCAAGGTTAATGCATGACATTACAAGAGTATTCTGAGGTGTTTGCATATAAAAATTGTAATGGAATTGTGCAGAAGGAGAGATTCTGGGGGCAAGTGTGTGAGAAATGAAAAGTCCTGCTAGCTTGAGCATTCAGCATGCATGCAGCTAAAACACTTCTTATTTTCTTCCATAAGCATTGCACAGCCGTTGCACAAAGTATTGACACTGAGGCTGGTGCCTTCCCGTTTGTGAAAGAGCACTCCGAAGTACTCTTTTCTGTCATGTTCTTGGTGTTGTAAAGCAACAAAAGGATTATATGAGTCCACCATCTGTGCCGGAAAAATATCTTCTGTTATTTAGCAATTTTAAAACCTTATCGCAAAATGCACATGTATTACAAAACGTAAACTCATTACAAATCTGTAAGCTGCATCTGTGACGTATTTATCTGATTTGTCACACCAATACTGGATTGACAAGAGAACTATGGGCGTTGAAGAAAAGGCAAAGGTCTTGCAAATTATAAGGAACATGCATTGGAAGAGTGTATCCCTGCTGCTTTGGTACCAACTACCAAAGAGCTCGAAGGCATTGGGTGAAAACAAAGCAAGCAGACCCTTATTAATAGCTAGAGAGGTGCAGTGAAACCCCATGGAAATAGTGATCACATATCGGTTAAAGCAAAGGCGTTGAAAGCTGCAAAATAAAGCTACATAACACCTCCTGGAATTCTTCTCGGCCTCATTGGAAAAAATAATGTCAGCACACATAAAGTCAAAATGAGTTGATTCACCCATTGACCTACATTTTGAGATTTTGGTGCTGATGGCTCCTATTATCCTAAAAACTTATTTATCCTCCCGATTACAATCATTTTTCTCCCAATTATGCACAATTGGAATTTCTTGGATCTTCAATGCACAACCATGAAGGATATAGCCTATGTAGTTTCCTGTTAACCTGAATGACTTCTTATGCTTTTGTTAAAAATGATGACGTTTTGTACCTTTGTAGGCAAAGGGCTGCATGACCTTGTCTTTGGCAAGGGAGTTTTCTTATGCTTTTGTTTCATTTAAAATTAGACTTCTTATCACTTTTTAAAACTAAAACTACTTTTGTTTTGAAACTCTGTTAATCGGCTTTAACATTGATTATATTGTTGGATGTCTTAGCTCAGTCTCTTTTAATGGCCTCATTAAAACATGCTCTCCTGCTGTATAGTATCAGAGGTGCCAGACTGGCCTGGGCCAGACTTTATTTCTCTCTAGTGTCTCCCGTTAAACCATCATCATCATTATCAACAACAACCTTATTTTGTTTGAGCGCCTATCTAAATATTTTTGGCTTCTAGCACATTTGATTGATTCTACAAGAAACAGGGCTTTAGAGACCTTTTTCATACTCCTGATGAGTTAACAAGGCCTCTGAAACCTGCAGCAACAATGCCAAAGATAAAAGTCAGCTCCAATTTGTATGCTTGATGTGGCGCTGTTTCAAACGCAGACACCGCAGGATAACCAGTGCACAGTTGTTGCACGATTCCCCCGCCACCTCACTGTCTCCTTTCCCTCACCCCAAACTCACATTAAAATTCTCCTTTATGCAAAATTCAAAGACCCTCTGGAACGCAGCCTTGCTCTCTGAAGATGTGCTTTCTTGCTGCTGGCTGGTGGAGAGGAAGTGGCTTTATCAGATGTTGGTGTCTGTGCAGGGAAATGAAACTCCCAGAGGAAGACAAAACTAAGTGCTTACTGAGCACAGACAGGTGCTGAGTCATGGACAAGGCAGGGCATGTAGAAAACAAAGCAAGTACAAACTAATAATATATTTTCAAGAAGCACCTTTCATGACAAATTGTCTCAGGTTGTTTGCTCTCAAGTCACCAGCCTTGTCACCTGTAGCTCTCTCCGACTTGAGTGAAACGTTTCAAATTTTGATTCCTGTTAAACCTGTTCCCTTCTTCCTCTGAGCCCTGAAAGATGTATGAAGCTTGTAAGATCCCAGTCTAAGGAGAGATCTCTTTAGTGGCCATATACAATTTCCTGTATTAGGAATTTGTCTTTGCACAGACCCCAGCTCGCTCTCCATGAGACACACAGACAGGGAGAGAAGCTGGGGGCCAGAGCGCAGGGTCAGCCATTTATATGGCACCCCTGGAGTATTTGGGGATAAGGGTCTTGCTCAGGGGCCCACAGGAATAGGATTCCTCTGCCGGCCGCAAGATATGAACTTGTAACCTTCCACCCACAGGCGAAGATCCTTAGCCACAGTGCCACCACTCCGCACTGCACTGCACAGGATGCTAAGGATAAACTGACATAAGCCTGTTTGTCTAAAATAGAGACTAATAAGCAGTGAAATAATTCAAATAGTAAGAGAAATTATTGGAAGAAGTGCTGCAAAGCCTTCCTGTGTAGAAGGAGCAGGGCTGCTTACTAGTGGACAGTTCATGTAAGTGCAACCTCAGTGCCCCTCAAAAAAATGGCCATTTTCCTCCTCTTTAAGCAGTAAAGGCCCTGAAGGACAGAGGGATGTGTCCAGCGAAGGGCTAAGGGGAAATCTTGGGCATCACACTGGTCAAAGTTTGGAAAGAAAACAGACAGAAGAGGTGAACTGCAAACGATTCTCTGAGCCTCAGCTGAGAAACAAATCTGGCTGCTGAAGCAGTTTCTCACCTCTCCACCTGATCTGCTGGAGAGGAATGTCTCCTGCGAGCCAGCAAGGTGGGTCTTGTGCTTTGGGGGTGGGGGACAACGTGGAGGGTCCCCTGGGGGTTGTGGGGGTGAAAAGAACTGTTTTAATGCATGCAGTTATCATTGCTAGTTAAAATAGGGACCTCGGCTTTTCCCCGTACAAGATAACAGTACCCTATGATGCCAGAGACAATGTATCATGGAAGGTGTGCAATTAAGCAGACAGACGAAGGGTTAAACACTTCAGAAACCTGCAGTGCAAAGAATCACGCAATGGGCAATTGTCTGAATGCTTTTTTTGTCTCCATGAACAACCAGCAGTTATGTTTATGATGCTTTGTGCTTTCGAATTCGAAGACGCTGAATTTCTGTAACCATATTTCCCTAAATTTGCATGCTGCCTAATCCTGTACAGTATATTTATGTTGAATGACAAGTCTAAAATGACTGGAATCTCTTTTTTTTTTCCAAACAGACAAAAGCAAACCAGTAAATCATGACCCCGCATGTCTCAGATCAAGAATGGTTAAGATTGAATGTTTACATTTCAAAATAATTCCACAACAGATGCTTCAAATTGCATAATGGAATTATTTTACTAATACCAGAGGGGATCAATAAATGAAAAACAAGTCTGCTACCCTGTTTTAATAATCTCCAAATCTTGGTAGGTATTCTTTGTTCATTTAATGTTCTGCAGGGTATTTTTTCCCTCTTTGGTGTTGTTTGAAACTCTAACTTTGAGATCTTGAAAAACTGAAGCTTTACGGTGAGGATAAGGTTTACAGTTCAAAGTTCCACTTTCAGATTGACCAGAAAGAACCAATAACATGTTAGTGACTTGCAAGAGGGACAAAAGTCACTTGTGAGCATGGTGACAGTCACTGGAAGGTGACTGCTGTAATTGCTGCTTCATGCATTGTGTTGTTCACTGTACAATGCACTGCTGTCCTCTAATCTTTCCGTATTATTGGGCTTGTTATTGTTATTTGTTGTTGTTGTTGTTATATTGTTGTTATTCATTGTTATATTGAGCTTATATTGTTAGTTATTGTTATATTGGGCTTTTCCCAATAACAAACCCATGGTAACAAAAAGCCTTAATCATGTCCTCCTAAAAAAGAAACAAGCTTTTTCTCAAGAGGACACCCAGTTCAGGAAGGAAGTGCAGAGAGAGGTGAAAAGGGGAGATCAGGAAAGCTAAGGAACAGTATAGGGTACAAATAGAGAACACCATGACAACAGGTGACACCAGGATGGCATGGCAGGGCATTAAAATCATGGCCAATATCCTTCAGAAGCGTAGTGGCAGCACTGTACCCTGTTAAATGGTATGGGTGGGCAACAGCTGGCCAATGATCTGAATGTATTTTATACCGCCGTCGAGTTGAAATCTACAACCAGCTCAGCTCATATTGCTATTCACCCTGTCTCTGGAGAGGTTTTCTTTAATATTGACACAGCAGAGGTACATAGACTTTTTAGGAAAATCAATATAAGGAAAAGTGCAGGTCCAGATAATGCGTGTGGTAGGGTCCTACAGTCTTGTGCAGATCAGCTTTGCAATATTTTTAGTTTCTTATTCCAGATGTCCTTAAACTTACAGATAATTTCCTCTCTGTGGGAGAAATTCATCAATATTCCTATTCCCTAAAACTGCCCAGCCTAGTGGCCTTAAAAGCTACAGACTGGTTGCCCTCACCTCTCTCCCAATAAAAACTCTTGAGAGAATAGTGAAGCACCACAAAGAGCACACAAGCCCTCATCGACCCCCTGCAGTTTGCACACAGGGACAGGAGGGGAGTAGACGATGCAAAACACACATTAAATCTGGTCTATCAACACCTGGACCAACCAGGGACCTTTGTAAGGATTTTATTTGCTGACTTCTCCTCTGCTTTCAACACAATACAACTTGCAATACAAAATTGTACAGAAACTCTCAAAGTACTTCAATCTGAAAGAGAACCTGAAAATGTGGGTGCTAGACTTCCTACCTAACAGGTCTCAACAGGTCCAATTGGGGAAGTGTTTATCTGACATTCACTATATGTCAACTGGATCACCGCAGGGCTGTGTCTTGTCCCCTCTTCTGTACATTTTGTACACTGATGATTGCATAAGCAAGCACACAGACAGACATCTCATTAAGTTTGCTGACGACACACCCCTGGTCAGTTTATTAAAGGTCACAGAATACCATCATGGGTCCATTTTAAATTATTTTACTAAATGGTGCAATGAGTTCTCCCTAAAGTTAAATGTTTCAAAAACAAAGGAACTGGTTATTGATTTGAGGAAAAATACCACACCCCCACTACAATTGATGGTCAGCCTGTTGAAATTGTCGATGACTATAAGTACTTGGGACTGGTCATTGACAAAAACCTAAAATGGGACAAATGTTGTGACTATATATCTATAAAAAAGGCCAACAGAGACTCTTTTCTTAGGAAACTCAGTTGCTTTAAAGTAGATAAAACTATCCTTACACTTTTCTACAAATCATTCATTGAAAGTGTCTTAACATACTGCTTCACTTGTTGGTTTGGTAACATAAGTATCGCTAACTGTTACTGGCTGAGTAGATTAGTGAATATAAGTGGCAAAATAATCAGGAATAATCAAATCAACTTGAGCATCCTTTACAAACAGAGGGTGACTAAGAAACCCAAAAGCATCAGGGAGTGTGTGTCTCATCCCCTCCATTGCGATTTCACACTTCTCCCATCTTGGAGACGCCTCTGTGCTCCCAGTTGTAAACCCAACAGAATCAGGAAATCTTTCATCCCCACTGCAATTACACTCTTAAACAATGCAAAGTAACTACCTTGTCTCTTTTCTCCTGTAACACTACTGTATTCTCTTCCCTTTTTATGATGTGTATTTGTTATTGTGTTGTGTTTGACTGTGCTGCAAAAACAATTTCCCCTACGGGACAATAAAGCTTGAATTGAATTTAATTGAATTGAATTACTGCTCTGCAGGAATATAATACATTTTGCACTGTGCATCTTTAGAAACTTTAGCAATTGTGTTTTGAATGCAAGGCACCTAGAGTACCAATGCCAGCTAAATAAATTTGAATATCTGTCAATTTTCTCTCTGTCTAAAAAACACACTGGTAGGTTAATTGGCTTCTGGAAAAATTGGCCCCGGTGTGAGTGTGTGTGTGCCCTGCAATGGACTGGTGTCCCATCCAGGGTGTACCCTGCCTTGCACCTGTTGCTTGCTAGGATAGACTCGAGCTCCCCTGCCACCCTGAATAAGACGAAGCGCTTAGAAAATGTATGGATGAATGGCATCTTATGCAGACAGCTACTGAGAATAAACATAGGTAAGACTAGTGACTTAAATGGTCTCAATTAAAACTGGTTCCAAATGTTTAGTAATCGAGTTTGAGCCCCCTATAAAACCCACAGAGCTGTAGCTCCCCATGACCAAGGGTAAGGAACAGTGTTTTAAATCCAGATTAGTGGTTTAAAAACATCTGAGGATGTTAAGGAAAGACCCAAATTAAAGAACCCTATACTGTATATTGTTTCCATCAAGTTTGATGTGTTAATAAAGGTGAATTAAATGATGTTTCTATTAAAATCACCTACCTTAGTTAACCCATCTAACATTTTCAATGTGTGTTCTGCTTTTATTTTTCTAGACGCAAGCCATGAATTCCTCTCAACCTGAAAGCACGTGCTACGAAACCTTTCTTGAGGTCATTCCAGTCCTTTATGGTTTGCTGTTCATCCCTGCCCTTGTTTTAAACTGCTTGGCAGGATGGGTGTCTTTTCAGATTCGGACAGAATCAACTTTTATACTTTATCTGAAAAACCTGATTGTTGTTGACTTCATAATGACCCTGACCATTTTAACAAAAGCCATCAGCAAGTCTAAGTTCGGACAGACACACCTGGTGGTCTTTGCGTGTCGATTCTCTGACATCCTCTTTTACTTCTCTATGTACATCAGTATCATCTTCCTCGGGGTGATCAGTCTGGACCGATACTTTAAAATCGTGAGGCCCTTTGGAAAATTATTGGGCCAGAACTTAACCTATGGAAAATTCTTGACAGCTTTCATCTGGATTTCATTTTTCTGCACAACAGCACTTCCCAATATGATTCTGACCAATAAGAAGTGGAACGGGACTGCAAACTGCATATCACTGAAGGACAGGCCTGGGATTATTTGGCATGAAGTGGTCATCTACATTTGCCAAACAGTTTTTGCAGTTGTCTGTGTTTTGATTGTATTCACCTATGTGTTCATCAGCAGGAAGGTTTATGAGTCGTACAAGAGATCCCAGAGCTGTAATGAGAGGTACAAGAGACAAACGAAGGCGAGGGTGTTCATCGTCATAGTTGTTTTCTTCATCTGCTTTGTGCCGTATCACCTGGTCAGAGTGCCGTTCACTAAAATTCAGGTTGACAAGAACACCACATGCATAGATTATGCATGGTCGTTTTCAAAAGAACTGTCTCTTTGGTTGTCAGCAACCAACACCTGCCTTGATCCGTTGATCTACATATTGCTGTGCAAATCTTTCAGAAATAGGGTGTGTGAAATCTTTAGACGTAAAACATTTAATATCTCAAATGATAATGATGACTCAACTCAGTAGTGTTGGTTGGTTTGCAGACACTGATACAAGAGCATGAGAAAAGCAGGCTATATACTGTACCTACAGAATAGCCAGTGCTAGTTTTCCTGGTCACCATTTCTGACATCCAATCTTGCTGATCAGTAGAAAATTCATTAGGAAAGGCAATGAATAATTATTAATTAGGCTAGGTAAGGCTGAAGAAGGAAGAGTGCAGGCAGGGGATTTTTCTTGAACAGAGAAATGCTTTTTGTTCACAGAGGGGGCATGGTGGCAGAGTAGTTAATCAGACAGGAACAGGATAAGGACGCCAAATGAGAAAAAAAAGTTTTCCTATTTTATTATTACCAATTGTTGCAACCGAGAAAACATCTTGCTTTGTTACCAAAATAGCTTTTTTAAATTCATACTGCCAATTAAATTTGAAACCCCTGTAAGTAGAATTTGCCAAGAAAATTAAAAAAGACAATGTGTTTTCTGCTTTTTGTATTTTGTATTTTAACTGGATGTGCGGAGGAGTAATGTTTACTGAAGTCTTCTAGTACCTTCGTACAAATCCCTGTGTTATTTGTCCCAGAACATTACCGGGCAAAATATCCTTTTAGACACCTCCAGTAATGCAGTGTGTCAGTGCCCTCTGATAAACAGTGTAAAACAGCTGTGTTTGTATTGACACACTCCACCTTTGAGAATATTAATTATTTTTTAATAATAAATATTGTTGGTTGAACTGTCTATCTGGTGAATTAATTATTTTGAGACACAGATGCACACACTTATTTCTACAACTCCACAGATCTCAAGTGTTCTTCATGTCTAGGTCTGTATACCACTCAAAAGTTCTTTACATAGCCCTTAACCTCCACTCCCAAAACCCCTGAGAGCCTTCGGGAGAAGAAAAAACACATGGTCATACAATGTCACTGACAACTAGTAGCATGGACAGGGCAACCAAACACTTTCAACTTCACAAAGTCTGCTCACCTAAAAAAGACAAGCAGCTAAGACGACAGAACACACTACAGCCCAATCACTTCCCAACACCACGGTTATTGATACGTGAAATAGGATCACTCTGAAAAAAATCTCTTCAGTCCTGATCATAGGCCTTAGCAAGGGGTCTTCATTCACGTGTCCATAGTCCAGAAGAGTACTCATAAAGAGCTCGTGCCCAGAAGGTCAGGGCAGAAGAGGAAGTGTTTATGTGGAGCCAGGAACATTCCAGCCACTTTCTGACCAACACTGTCTGAATGAGCTCCTCAATAACAAACGAGCTCTTAGCTGCCATCTAAATACAGTTTGATGCATCAAAAGGCCAACTCTCATTTGCAGCCTGTCTCATAATAGAAAAATGGTATTTGTGCATTGATGCCGCTCCCCTGTGCCTCTCAAATGCTTTCAAACTCCCCATGGCACTGTGGACTTGGCACGTGTCCGGACAGTGCGGTCCAGGTTCCCCTCAAGGTGATTTGAATTCAGCGGAATACTAACCATTAGCAGCTGTTGACATCTGCCAGAATATGCGTGGGCTCTCAGCCTTACCCTGTTCCACGGGATCCAGATTTGCTCTTCAGAACTTCCTGTGTCCCTGACACAGAGCAGGTGCCCTGCCTCAGGACTGGCAGTGCCAACCCACATACAGTAAACATGACTGGACGACTGTGATGCGGTAACGGTGTCTAGACAAGAGTCGCTGCCATTCACCACTTTGGAACAAGATTTATTTTCTTAGTACCACCATCCACAGTCTCCTCTATATATTGTTATTGTGTTTTATCTTTGCATTCTCCTTATTTATTGTTGTTGTCATCCTGTAAAGCGCTTTGAGAAGCCACCTTTAAAGGAGCTACATAAAATAAAGTTGTTTATAATTATTATTATTATTATTATTATTATTATTATTATTATTTTAAGACGAGCATTAATACAGCACTGCAAGCTGAATTAAAGAGGAGAGCACTGGGCATATTCCAGACAGTGCTGCACTGTTACATCACGCGATGGTCTGCCTGCGCAAGGTAACAGAACAATGCAAAGCTAGCATACACAAATGTGAAGATAAAGTTCACATGCATCAGACACTCATTCCAAATGAATAAAAGGCACAGGACAGACTCTGGCATGTCTCATTGAGTTTGCATACACCTCTTCTTATCAGATTTATCTCTTATTTAAATAAAAAGGGGCTGCAGATGAACTTTAGAGATTACATTCATTGTTACCACATTCTAAATAAAGATGAAGTTACCTGCTTCCAAAGTAAACACGTTCAGACACACGTGCTTGAAAAAATACCAGAAGAGAAGGCAGAGGCACCTTGCACACGAAATGTTTCTATTTGGAAGCCTCATCAGATAGCACAGTCCAGCAAGGAGCAACTGAGAGACCACATTTTTGGCCTAAAGAAAAAAGTGGGTAAGTACACTACTTTTTTGAAAAAATGGCAAGGTAATAAATTAATTGATTGATTAACAGTTATGTTGCTTGGAAACATGGGGCTTACCTCCCCTAGCAAATATTAATGCTAAATAAGCAACAATCTCCAAAGACGGATTTAAATTTTGCAAAAAACAGACTTTGCCCGTTTTCTAATTTCAAGGTGAAGCTCCATCATGGATAAGGCTACTACAAATCGCACATCTTCCAACGCGACAGAGTCCGACACCTTCACAATGTATCTCTTCCCCTGCCTGTATGCGCTGGTCTTTTTGGGATCTGCTTTTTTAAACACAGTGGCCCTCTGGATATCCTTTCATGTCCAGTGTGCATCCTCTTTCCTCTTCTACCTCAAGAACTTGATCATAGCTGACCTGCTGATGACCGTGACCATACTATTGAAAACCCTCAGTGAAGCCAGTTTCGCGCCGAGGCAGCTGAAAATCATCACCTGTCGGTACTCCAGTGTGGTCTACTACTTCACCCTGTACATCAGCATTATCCTGATGACGCTCATCAGCCTGGATCGGTACCTCAAAATCGTGCGCCCGTTCGGGACGTCCTTCGTGCGGAACAAAACCTTCGGCAAAACGGCGGCCGTCATCATCTGGGTTGCGTTATTTTCTACGACGGCCATGCCGAACATGATACTGACCGACCCGAGACGGGACAACGCCTCCGGAACGCTCAACTGTATCTGCCTGAAGGAAGCCCTCGGCCAGGACTGGCACTACGCAGTGATAAAAATCAACATGGTGATTTTCTGGGTGTGCTTTGCTGTGATGGTTGTCTTTTACTTGCTAATAAGCAAGGAGATTTACGAGTCTTATCGCAGATCCCAGAGTAACAACAAAAAAGACAAAAGGCGCGCCAAGACGAGGGTGTATGTCATCATCGTCGTGTTCTTCCTGTGTTTTGCACCCTATCACTTTGCTAGAATACCTTACATTCTGAAGACTCCCGGGAGGAGCTGCAGCCTGTCCAAATCCCTGCACTTAGTGAAAGAATTTACACTCTGGCTGACTTCAACTAACACCTGCCTGGATCCCCTCATTTATTTATATTTGTGCAAATCCTTTCGGAGAAGGTTCATCCGGACCGTGAGCATAAGAAGCAGCCGGCCAGTAAAAACGAATTACTCAAAGGGCCAGGAAGTCTCTTCAAACTACTATGAGACGTCCATGTAACACGAACACATCGAAACCTCGGTGAGCAATATACAGTAGGAGCCACCAGAACCTGCTAATGTGGTCCCACAAGAGAGAATATCCATCTGCACATCGAGATGAGTTCTGTTGACATACTGTACACAAAAAAAACTGTATAGGTGGATGCTTTGATTTTTGGCAGTTATTTAAAATAGTTTTTTATTGAATTATAGTTACAGTTGGTTAAGAATAAATATGTATACTATGTATATCAGTGGTCATTCAATTTACTATAAGCATTTTTGTGCTATGGTAATCAATGTCAGTAGTTATCAAAGACATAAGCTCTGTAACAATGTACATTTTTGTTTCATAAATAAAACTTTTAACAGTTTGTACTTAACATGCATTTTAAATTCTTCACCATCTGTTAATCAACATAATCAGCAATTATGGACAACCATTTTTGTGAAGGTTGTGAATATTGTAATGCCTCTGAAATCACATCCAAACGTCCTATAAAATTGAAAAACACAGAAACACGAGCGGGCACAAGTTTGTGTCCAGGATACTCTAATGTAACAAAGCCCGACCCAGAAAGCGCCCCTTCTGCCCTTTTGAGCCACTGCCCACCATTTCTTGAATGCAGTCCTTCATACACATTTCTTTCATTTCCTCATAAAATGCATCCGACATGACAAACTGCTTATTTAACAGATCGTCATGTATTTGAAAAAAAAAAAAAAACGATTTTGTAATGGAAGAACAATGCATATGTCACGTACAGTTCTTTCCGGGCCCTATGCGGACGACACGATCCAGAATAGTGACGACACAAGGGGGAAAATGGTCATGCAGGAAAAGGGTCTGGAGACGGGGGGGCGTGTCCATGCCGTGCAGGTGTCCAGGGGAAGTGAATCCAGGCGAACAATCCATGTAGGAAATCCAAACGGGAAATCAGAAACAAGGGCTGAAGTCCATAGCCAGGCGATCCATCCGGGGGGGGGAACAGGAACCGGGTCGGAACCGGGTCGGAACCGGCGAGGGGAACCAGGAACTAGGAACAGAAAGTTAAAAGCATAACGGAGCCGGACGCAGAAAGACTCCCGGGCTCTCATGATGTGGAAATCAATGAGGAACCAGGAGTAAGGTCCACGTCTGGCTTTTAAGGGGGAGCGGGATTAGGGACCAGGTGCAGACGATGGGGCAGAACAAGGAAGGGCTGGAGCGCCCTTAAGAGGAGGGGTTAGCGATCGTGACAGCATAATAGCATCTCCCTTGTTTATTTTATTTGGAAATTGTGCAACTGCCTGTTTTAGCAATCACTTCCTAAAACATGTATGCACATTCAGGAATTCACCCAAAAAAATACCATAATTAAATGGATGCAACTTGTTTTCTTTCAATATCTCACATTCATATATATTTCAATATAATAACAATTGCTTACACTTATATTGCACTTTTCTGGACACTCCACTCAAAGCACTTTACAGGTAATGGGGATCCCCTCCACCACCACCAGTGTGCAGCCCCACCTGGATGATGCGACGGCAGCCATAGTGCGCCAGAACACTCACCACACATCAGTGGGGAGGAGAGCAGCGTAATGAAGCCAATTCAGAGGGGGGGATTATTAGGAGGCCATGATTGGTAAGGGCCAATGGGAAATTTGGCCAGGACACTGGGGTTACACCCCTACTCTTTTCGAGAAACACCCTGGGATTTTTAATGACCACAGAGAGTCAGGACCTCGGTTTTACGTCTCATCCGAAGGATGGCCCCTGTTTACAGTCTAGTGTCCCCGTCACTATACTGGGGCATTAGGACCCACATGGACCGCAGGGTGAGCACCCCCTGCTGGCCCCACTAACACCTCTTCCAGCAGCAACCTTAGTTTTTCGCAGGAGGTCTCCCATCCAGGTACTGACCAGGCTCACGCCTGCTTTGCTTCAGTGGGTTGCCAGTTGTGAGTTGCAGGGTAATATGGGTGCTGGCAATATATAATATTCACAGGCCTGCTGATAAAATGATATAACGAATGAATAACCATGCCACCTGTGCTACAGAGAAATCACCACAACTTCAATACAGGAGCACTTTCAACATAAAATTGCAAGGTAACAAGCTCTTTGTTGATAAACTAATCCCATCTGAACTTTTTAGACCATCTTTAGACCTGCATCTAGCTGGCTCAAGTCACATAAAGTTGATAAGCTTAGTTTGCAAAAGGACAGCCTGCAGTCCGCGGTTACTGCTTCAACCTCACCAGGCCCTTTAGTATATATAATGAGGGTGGAACTTAAACTGCATTTCCTATTAGTACGCCCTCCCAAATCCTCCGTCATATCTAAAAAAATACATTAATATAGCACCTTTGAGATGTACACCAGGGATAATAAATGTTTATGTGAAGTTTTATTATATAAAAAGGCCTTTTGAATTTTTAGTAGAAAAACTCCACATCAGAATAACCCATTGGGCAAATACAAATATTTGTAAATCCTTCCACGCACTTGTTTTTCTGATGTAGACTATGTTCTGATGTTTTTCTGTGACTCCCTATTTACAGCACAGTCCGCAAAATCCTCAGGAAGAGGTAAAGGTCTATTCCATGCTGAAAGGAAAAGAAAAGAGATGCAATGTTTCAGCTGTGGAGCCTTCTTCACGTGTTCTGTAAAATGTTGTGACTCTATATACAGTACAACAGTCTGTAAAGGGCTGCATAATTCTATTTACAGCACAGTCTGCAAAAAGCTCTGCAACGTTCAGTTGGAAAATGCACCAGAAAACATTGTGATGTGGTTCAAGTCTACCTGCTGCTCACAGAAACAGACATCAAAGAAACGCAACAGGTGTGGATTTAGTTGCCAACAGCTGATAACTTCAGAACACAAAAGCTATCGAACTATTGTCACTGTGACGATGACATACGACACACTACAGTGGTGAAATTACATCAACTGCCAAGCTGCGCAAGGAGCAGAGGCTCAGAGCTCAGAGCCATCACTTCTCCAAGAGTGGCTGAGAAAACTTTAATTGCAGGAAGTAAACTAGAAAAAAGGAACATTATCGCACCGTAAAGTTTATTTCAGTGCCACCACAGCTTTTAAACTCGTCGCTTGAGAGGTGAAGCTGTGCTGAGATATTTCCGACTGCCTTACTGGTAAGTGCTGTTTACATTTTGTTCTTCACTGGTGAATACAGAAGAGGTAATAATTACGTCTGCGGTGACAGCGATGAGATGTTTGCGCAAAACGTTGTCTATTATTTTCATTTGAATAATTAACCACAGGAACTTAATAGTCCACAGCGCTGTTGAGACCATCTGTGCTTTCACAATACTAGACTTGGAAAATAATACTTTTGTTTTTTTAACATGCTGGGTTTTTCTTACCACGTAAAAAAACATTTTACCATGATGATGTACATCATCTTATGGTAACTCTGAAAAGTGTGCTTTATTTGAATTTTTGGCTCAATGTTTTTTAAGTATGCAGAAATAGGAGAATTATAAAATGTTTTGCTCGCACCTTGGTGAACTGAGTGAAAGAGATCAGGTTCTATCATATACTCTTTTTACACAAAAAACAATAGAAAGCCCCTTTTTCATTTCAATCTACATTCTACTTTTTAACTGAATTAGCTGTATGATTTAAGCTAACTCATACGGTGTGAAATACTATTGTTCTGTGAAACAACTTGTCACAGAGCAACACGTCTACACAAGTGACTCTCCCAATCTTCTGATAGTAAGAAGTTGTAAAATGTTGAAATGGTAAATGTATAGGAATATATATATTGACACTCCTGTGCAAAACCCTTAAAGAGAAATTGGAGCTGCAATATATGTATCTCATGAACACTTCTGGTAGTTTTAGACAAATAGTGCTTTTTGCAACAACTCTCCTTGTAATAAATACAGTACAGTTTAGTTTGTCGGAGAAGAAACATTGAGCGGAATCTTCAAAAGCTTACCACAACAAAAGATAAACTATATATTATCAGCCAATATGAAGAGTTGCAGTAGTTAATCCACCACAATCACCATTGGCTCATTGTTTGGTGTTCTTTATTTCAGCCGAATGTTCTTCCTCTCTACATGTACAAGAGGCTACAAGGAGTTTTTGTATCTAAAAATAAACATCTCTCAGACAGACTTCTTGTGGCTGTTACAGAAAGCTTCAGCAGAAGAACAACATGAGAGTTTCTGCATAACGATGGCAAAGCAATGGGTGAAAAGAGTCGATTGTGGCGAAATGAGTTAGGCTTTTGCACAGCAGAATTGTTCTTTTTCAATAACACGCAATGAGGTCCAATGAAAAGGAATTTATTTGGAGTTAGAAAGCAGCAAACTGAATGCTGTCCTGTTGAGATAGATGACATGCAACACTTCTGTTAAAGTTAAAAACTGTTCGACATTAACGAGTTATAAAATATGCAGCAGGGTGACTACCTTATTTCCCCCCCCCCCCCAGAGAGACTAGAACATTTTAACATTTTAATTATTCAGATGCTGGCATTGACACCCCCAGTGCATGTAACAGTGCTTAGACTGGTGGTGGGGAGCCGCGTCAGCATGCAGAGGCTGCAAAGGAACAAATAATAGGGTTTATTCCATGCTGAAAAGAGAAGAAAGGAAACACAACGTTTCGGCCGTGGAGCCTTTTTCAGGTGCTCCCTAGAGATTGTGAAAGTAACAGTGGGTTCTGCTTCTTTTCCAGGAATGTTTTAAATATGAATGCAAGCCAGATCAACGAGAGTCTCTCCTCAGCTAAGTGCACGCGGGACACCAGTGTCACCGGAGTCGTGTTCCCCTGTCTGTATTCACTTCTGTTTCTGGGGGCCCTCCTTCTCAACAGCCTGGCCGCCTGGGTCTTCTTCCAGATTCCCAGCTCTTCCACCTTCGTGGTGTACCTCAAAAACGTGGTGGTCGCTGACCTGCTAATGACCGTGACCATACTGATTAAAGTGCTCGGTGACTCTGGCCTGGGGTCCTGGCAGCTGAAGGCTTTCACGTGCCGCTACTCTGCCGTGCTCTTCTACATGACCATGTACATCAGCATCATACTGCTGGGGCTGATCAGCTTCGACCGCTACCTAAAGATCGTGAGGCCCTTCGGGAAGTTGTTCATCCAGAAGGTGACCACCGGGAAGGTCCTGACCGTTGGCGTCTGGGTGGTGATGTTCTCCATGACCGCGCTGCCCAACATGGTCCTGACCAACAGGGACCCACCCCTCAACACAACAATAAAGTGCAGCTCTCTTAAGGGACCCCTGGGGCTGAAGTGGCATGAGGCCGTCAACTACTTCTGCCAGTTCCTCTTCTGGGGCACCCTGGCTCTGATGGTCTTCTGCTACACGTTCATCAGCAAGAAAGTGTACGAGTCCTACCAGAACTCCCGCAGCTCCGCCAAAAACGCCACCAGGAAAACAAAGGCGAAGGTGTTCATCGTGGTGGCCGTGTTTTTCATCTGCTTCGCGCCCTTCCACTTCGCCAGAGTGCCCTACACACTGAGCCAGACCCGGAGCACGAGCAGCTGTGTGCTGCAGACCGTGCTGTACATCACCAAAGAGACTACCCTTTGGCTGTCTGCCACAAACACTTGCCTGGATCCCCTGATATACATATTCCTGTGCAAATCATTTAGGACAAAGCTGGCTGAAGCCCTGCGGCTCAAGTCTAAATGCCTCTCTGCTGAAGGAGCGGATTCGTTTGCTGAAACCTCTACCAAAGTTGAGGCAACATCTTTGTAACATGCGGCCTTCCCATCAGAATACAGTAGGATTATCTTCACAATGAAAACCATTCGTAGTGGTTTTGTAGACAAGCACAGCACATTCTGCACAAACCCAGTGAATGCAGGGTAGCAGCTGTAAGACCTGGCTAAAATAAAGAGACGACAGGCATGTGAGAAGACAAAGTCGTGCAACACACGAATATTCACACAATTCTGCAAAACCATCAAGTTAGTCGGGGCTGTTGTACCAGTGCATCATTGCGTTTTGGCGTACATCGTGCTTTGTGAATTTGTTACAGGACCACATTGTTTCTGCATTGTTGATTTACTAAGGCCTGCTGATATCTAAGATATCTGGCCGTTGTCTGACTGTACTGAGGACTGAAATACAGTATGTCACTTGTGCAAATATTTTAGTTCAGAAAACTTGTAAAATGTATGGGACATTGTAGAAGCTAATCCAGATAAGATGCATTATATTTTACTCCATCATGCTGTCCCACCTGGGCAAAAGAATTTTTTAATTTTTAATTTATTTTTGAGTGATGAAAAATAGTCATGGAATTCTAAAGTATAAAACTACTGTATATATGATCTTCATACAGGTGGCTACCTTTCTTTCTTTTTCTAACTTGAAACGTGGGTTTTATACATATTCAAGCTGTTTTGTCATGTTTTTATTATACTGTACATGACTGAATACATCTTTTTCCTTTATGATTAGTTGGCTGTTTTTTTTTCCTTCGTACACAAATAAGCTTGCTATACAGTGGTGTGAAAAAGTGTTTGCCCCCTTCCTGATTTCTTATTTTCTTACATGTTTGTCACACTGAAATGTTTCATATCATCAAACAAATTGAAATATTAGACAAAGATAACACAAGGAAACACAAAATGCAGTTTTTATTATTAAGGGAAAAAATCCAAACCTACATGGCCCTGTGTGAAAAAGTGATTGCCCCCTAAACCTAATAACTGGTTGGGCCACCCTTAGCAGCAACAACTGCAATCAAGCGTTTGAGATAACTGGCAATGAGTCTTTTTGGCCCACTCATCTTTGCAGAATTGTTGTAATTCAGCCACATTGGAGGGTTTTCGAGCCTTAACCGCTTTTTTAAGGTCATGCCACAACATCTCAATCGGATTCAGGTCAGGACTTTGACTAGGCCACTCCAAAGTCTTCATTTTGTTTTTCTTAAGCCATTCAGAGGTGGACTTGCTGGTGTGTTTTGGATCATTGTCCTGCTGCAGAACCCAAGTGCGCATCAGCTTGAGGTCACGAACAGATGGCCGGACATTCTCCTTCAGGATTTTTTGGTAGACAGCAGAATTCATGGTTCCATTTACCACAGCAAGTCTTCCAGGTCCTGAAGCAGCAAAACAGCCCCAGACCATCACACTACCACCACCATATTTTACTGTTGGTATGATGCTCCTTTTCTGAAATGCTGTGTTACTTTTACGCCAGATATAATGGGAAACACACCTTCCAAAAAGTTCAACTTTTGTCTCGTCAGTCCACAGAGTATCTTCCCAAAATTCTTGGGGATTATCAAGATGTTTTCTGGCAAAACTGAGACGAGCCTTTATGTTCTTTTTGCTCAGCAGTGGTTTTCGTCTTGGAACTCTACCATGCAGGCCATTTTTGCCCAGTCTCTTTCTTATGGTGGAGTCATGAACACTGACCTTAACTGAGGCAAGTGAAGCCTGCAGTTCTTTGGATGTTGTTGTGGGTTTTTTTGTGACCTCTTGGATGAGTCATCGCTGCGCTCCTGGGGTAATTTTGGTCGGCCGGCCACACCTGGGAAGGTTCACCACTGTTCCATGTTTTCGCCATTTGTGGATAATGGCTCTCACTGTGGTTCGCTGGAGTCCCAAAGCTTTAGAAATGGCTTTATAACCTTTTCCAGACTGATAAATCTCAATTACTCTGTTTCTCATTTGTTCCTGAATTTCTTTGGATCGCAGCATGATGTCTAGCTTTTGAGGATCTTTTGGTCTACTTCACTTTGTCAGGCAGGTCCTATTTAAGTGATTTCTTGATTGAGAACAGGTGTGGCAGTAATCAGGCCTGGGTGTGGCTAGAGAAATTGAACTCAGCTTTCCAAAGATGTGATAAACCACAGTTGATTTATGTTTTAACAGGGGGGGCAATCACTTTTTCACACAGGGCCATGTAGGTTTGGATTTTTTTTCCCTTAATAATAAAAACCTTCATTTAAAAACTGCATTTTGTGTTTACTTGTGTTATCTTTGTCTAAAATTTCAATTTGTTAGTGTGACAAACATGCAAAAAAAAAAAGAAATCAGGAAGGGGGCAAACACTTTTTCACACCACTGTATACAGTATGTTATGGCTATTGCATGCTTTGCTGAAAATGGACAACAATTTCCCTTGATGCTTAAAAAAGTCATAGAGACTGATTTAGGTCACTCCATCTAGGTCATGCATGATGCCTGAGTGTACTTGCCTGTGACAATGTATGCACAATTCAACAAAAAAACTTTTTTTGAGGCAGCAGATTCTATAACACTCACCCTGTACACATAACAATTAGCAGAACTAATTCACCAGTTTGGACCCTTGTTGTGTAATCTGTAACGAATTCATGACCTGCAAGTTGAAGATCAACGTTTTAGTTTAGGATTTAAAAGGCTGTTTTTCTGATTAGAAACGTCCAGTGAAGCAAAAGCACTCACAGAGGTTTCCCTACAACATCAGAAGGATTCCTGCCAGCATCCAAAATGACACTTAAATGTCAACTTAAAAGTCATGACAGTTCTCTGCTCTTGCTTTCACTAACGGGTTTGTATCTTTAAACGTTCGCAGTCAAACTTCACCAATGCCTTCTGCTGTCTGATTCCTCATCACACTTGAAATTTGTTTAGGAGGAATTAAGAGTACATAAAGTTCACCCCATCTCTTTCATTTCCCTAAACCCCGGGGTGCTCTTGTGATTACTGCCACTGCTCTTCACAGTAATTCCTGTTTCACAAATCAGGAAGCATTGAGACATTGAAGAAATGTTACTAGATGTTTCCTGAGAGAGGTTTAAAGGACACATCTCCACACTCCTCAGTTAACTGAGCAGAGATAATGAGTCCATGTGTCTGGTACACACAAACAGTAATGCTCATTGAATTTGTGTGAAAAGTACATTTAATCTAAGGGATTACTTCAAGGGAGGCCACTGCTCAAATAGTGTATTGGTTCCATAGTTTCTTATGGTATTATATGTTTTCTGGACTGGCAACTGTCCCAGTAGTGTTTCCTTTAACACAGTAATCCACCAGACTCTTTAATGGGACAGGCGTACTACAACTCCATTGAAAGCAAAAACTTTCACAAACTTCACAACACTACATTAAAGGAGAGACGGTTTAAAAAAACATTTAAAAGTCTTAGGTTTTGTTGTTACCTTTCTGGGCCAGTGAGGGAAGACACTTTTAGCCATATAGAGTCAACATAAACTGATGAGAAAGGTGAAATTAAGTACAGAGCCATACAGTATCTTTGGATCTCTTGCAAAAAAAAAAAGGTAATAAATAGCAGCTGTTGAACAGAAAGAAACACCACACATAAGCTTTTACATCTTGTTTTCTTTTTTAATTGCAATCTGATGTACCATTAGATGTTTAAGAAACAGCACTCTCAATGGAGTGAGATAAAAGTGAAGTGTGACCTCTTCTGAGTTATTAAAAAGCTTTTGGAATACTTCAATCACAAAAAAAAAATATTGTGATGAGATTACTGATGACATATTAACACATATTAAGCACTAAAACAAACATTTCCTGGAAATGAACATTTTGTGGCAGCCTTCCAGGTGTCTCCAATGGGCCCCCCTCCTTTGGGATCTTCAGGATGAAAACTGCTGAAAAGAGGTAAAATCAAGGTCTTATTCTTATTCTTTTAATTCTCACAATCTGTTCCAAAAAACAAAAGGGGGTATATACATGCACTCTTGACCAAATAAGACAGGTCAGCAGTTCAGAGGACAAATGCATGGGGGTCATGCAATGGCCTTTGTAAAGGTGTGGTTTGAATCTTAATGCACTGATGTGGAGTTCCATAAGAGGCATTTAAAGTTCCGGTAGCTACCCAGGAAATTTTAGCTAAGCTACAGTAGATGCAATTTCAAGATCAGCTTCTGAGTGTGTCGAGACATCCTGAGAAGACATGCTGTCCTGGACAATAACCTGTTCCTCACCTGCTACTGTATGTAAGATAAGCCAGTGTCACAGCAGATAATAGATCCGGTTGGTGCTATTGACAAATAGGTGGAGTGCACCTGCGTGAGAAATTCTGATAACAAAAACTGCAGAAGCACAGCTGGATGGTACAAGCGGGATATCAAAACATTTTGCACAGTTGTTTTGTTCACCCTGCGCGAACTGTAAAGCCTTTTATGAGCCCATCATTCAAAGCAAAAAAAAAACTTCTGTTGGATTTAAAACTCTGTGGACTTTGCCATGAGTGTTGGAAGAACTGAGCTCAACTGTCCAGGTTAAAGTCCAAACATTATTGTTTTAGTGGGCGTTTGTCTTGAAACTATCAAGACCAAGAAGAGAACACTGTTTTCAAAATTAATCATACACTGCTAAGACTCAAGATTACATTGCTGGTGCTTTTTTTTAAATATTATGCAAACATTCTCATCTGCTTAAAATGTATTGGGTATGTATAAACACTCTCAACAGTTCACACCAAAGAATGAGTACAGAGAAGCCAGCAATCAAAGCTAGAACATTTTTGAATTATTCTACATCTGATGAAGAATGTGACTCATTTTAGCAGAAAACAACAAGAAATGTACAGTAAGTAATCCAGCTAAACTATAATGTGGGGAATAATTTACCATCAAACTTGAATGATATCACAAATCACCTCTTAATGCAATACACCTTTATTTCTTAACTTTGTCATCTTTAAAGTGATTTAAAACATCTGCAGTCACTGGATCAGTTTTATATTTTTCCTTTGGTCAAAACTAGCCACTGAGTCAAATTTTGAAAGGCTTCTATCAGCAGTGCATATATTTTACTTGAATCTGCTGATTTGGTAATATTTGGGCAATTCAGAGAAAACTCACAGGGTTCAGAACAACACTCATAGTGACCTCAAACATGTTGTTTTTGTACATCTGCAGTGTTTGAAATAATAGCAGCAATTTGAGTGGAACGTAACCTATCTAGCACAAGAAACATGAAATCATAATGTTTAGGGATAGCTCAGGATGTCTACATTAGTCTGCATGGAAAATGAGAACCATTGTCTGGCACTTGATAATCATTAATGTGTATTTATGTGTATATCATGTATTGCTGTTGTTTAACAGAAGAGAAATAGGTCATTTGTTTAATACAAATGACCTATTTCTCTTCTGTTAAAAAACAGCAAACAGCAATCGTCGGGCATGACGATTTAACTACAGTACCTCCCAGGGGTATTAGGGAATCGGATGTAACATATTACAAAATTTATGAATTAAGTAAATAATTCTTATCAGAAGTAATACCACTTCAGAACGTAAGAGCTCTGATCATATAACTCCGAACACAGCGTGGCAAGGTCTGAGCGCTGTCTTCTTTTTATTGACACTGGAGTTCAAACTTTAAGTAGTGAACATTGTGAATCTCTGTTTCCTTTCTCTCTTCAGGCCACACTGAGAGTTTGTTTGTTTGTCTAGAACATATTTCTATTCATATATGGCAAAAATAATTCAATTCCTCTTTCCCAGCCCAAGCTTTCTCTTGCTAGATTCATACCATTTACAGTATGTTTTGAAAGCACTTTCAGTGAACAGGGAACATTTTGCTCAAGAACGTGTTAACTGGGCCAAATCCCCAGTAAATATTACCACGACCTTAATAATCTACCTATAAAAATGATTCTGCAAGGAAGATTATTTGTAAAACTGTATACATTCTTTGGTTTGGTACTTCACATTGCTTGACTGTGTAATTTTGTGTTATAGGGTGCCCTTTTTCTTGTAACTTAAATGATTAAATTATGCCCTAAGATATAAGAAAGTGATTAGTGTAAAAGGAGGAATTTTTTTTTTAATTTTTCAGCTAAGATGAAGAGAGGTATTCACTCCATGTAGCTAATTTTAATAATTGATTTATTCCATATTCTTACAGCTTTATATACTGTACTTTGATGCATTCCAGGACAAGATTGCACAAACTGAAATCTAGTGCCTTAGGTTGTCTGCACATTCATAATCGCTGAATGTATCTACTTACACAGCTGGGATTACAACTTCATGTTAAAACATGATTTTGTCAATTCCCTCCCACTCGCAGGAAACAGGTAAAGAAACTGGACTTCAGAAGAAACGATGGCCAGGGAAATGAGTCATGATGCAATATAATCAGCTAAACAATTGCCTTTTATAGATCAGCAATGGCCATTTTCCATGGTATTCAAGAGAGACCGCTCAACAGGGATACTCTAAATGCAGCTAAATGAAGGATATTCAAGGGAATGAATGTGTTGTTTTAAAAAGGAATATGGATGTGCATTAACTTCCTGTAAACTTCAGGTAAGTTGTTATGCTCTGTGTCTGCCTTTGAATTTGCATCAGTGCGAGGTTGCTTGTCAATGTATGCTTAAAAAAAGATAGTCCAGAACTGCATTAGTAAGCAAACCAAGGTTTTTCAGTTATTCTGTAGGTAGCTTTAAAAGTGTTTTCTCTTTCTTCGTGACGGTTTAAAGCTCATCCTGTATTCTGTGTAGAAAATACGGCATTTTGTTTTTTTATTTAATGTTTAATAAGAATCTGCAACAAGAATAGACTTCAGATGAAAATAACTCTACTTTTTATCACCACTCTGTACTGTGTATAAAGAAATGTTCCTATTCTGTACATTGACATTGGTTTACGCAGTGATTTCAATAACGAGTTGATTAATGACTAATGAGTTATTTGGAACATATGAAACTATGGCATTAGGAATTACAAAATAGGAAATCTTTATATCAAAAACATCGGTGTTATTCTGTACTGTATACACTAATATTTGTTGAGAGCTAAAAACTTTTTTTCTGATGCTGTAAAACTATTTTTCTACTGTCTTCTTTTATAACCACTGCAGTTAAATGTACAGTATTACAACATAAAGGAAACTCGCACAAGAATATATTCTTACTCATTAAACATTAACTCTGAATTTTAGACCTTGCAAATGAGATCACTATCCTCCGAAGCAGACAATAACGTGGATTTAATAGGAAAGCGTGTTTGATGTTAAACCGTCAGTGCGTAAGTCACGTACCGGTTGTACTGCATACAGGTAATTGCACAGGTATTCCTGGCAGTTCTGCGGAATAAAGAAAAGTGAAATAAGGAGAAGCAAGGTACAGGATCACTTGCTCTTCCACAAACAATCCCGCCGCTTTGCCAACGAAAATCCCGCTTTTTCCCTGGTGCTGTAGCTCCATGGACACTGGTCACAAAACCACGTTGCAGAAAGAGCATTGAGCCTCGTGACCAACAGTAAAAGATCCAACATTTTTTAGATTTTTTATTTTTATTTTCAAGAAATCCAATGCGGAAAAAACGAATGCTGCATTCAACTGCAATGCATTTAAAATATAGTTTTAAAACATAGTTTTTCCTAGTACTGTTACTAACACATCGGTCCGTACCTCCTGGAAAACGAACAAAACTTACATTTTCTTCCCCGAGTTTCTAAGCCAAAAAAAAAGCTTACCAGGTCAAGAAAGACCCTAATCACCGACAATGATTGAAACAAATTACATGTAGATTACGCCCAGGAAGAAACAAATCACAGAGATTGTATTTAGAAAGCAACAGCAGTGACCTGTTCCAAACAAACCTTCCAAATGTTGAATTAGTGCATCTGCCGGAGTTGTAAACAACTCGTTTTTAACTCACGCACGCGTTTAATCATCCGAGACAGAGAGGATTTTGTCTGAGGTGCAAAAAATAGTCGAACTACAGTACATTTTTTTTGCCATTGAATAGGTTCCTGTGGGATTATCTGATTGCAAAGAAAGACCGAAGAAACAAAACCCTAAAACATTTAATTACAAACAGCATTACCAACAAAGTTATGAATGAGAGGAGCCCATTTACCAAATTCATACATTATCGTTATCACACAATATTAAGACAGGCTAGACGATTCAGTATGATCGTTTTCCTTGTGTGTGTGAAACTGTTCGTGTTCTATTATGGTTATGTATATTGTTGTATACACATTCCTTCTTTTAATTAAATACTTGTACAGGCATGGTACAAGAATTGAGGTCTTTGCTCTTTGACAGATAAATCAGCAGTTATTCTTAAGTTCATTTTTTACTGGCATTTTTAGTAGTAACTAGAACAGGGTGAAAGATTCTCCTAGCTTGGCAGTTCAGACCATTCTGGTCTGTTCTAAACAAGTCAGCACCGGGCGTATATATAGTGATTTAATTTTTATGGACAGAGGAGTTCGAAGGGCACAAAAGATAAGATAATTCGCTTCAGCAATACAATTTTTGCACAACGCAACAGTTTTAATTTTACTAAAAAAAAAAAATGGGAAGTAGTCATTGTTCGAAAAAGATGAAAAGGGTTTGTAAGGGGTTGGGCTCCACGATTTTTGCAATCATATCAAGCTGACTCACTAATCGTTGTAAGTAGCAGATGTCACTGTCCACGTTTATGTAAACAGTTGTTTATGCGTTTCACATCTGACAGAGTATCCCACTGCTATTTTCCACAGCTCTGACAGATCACTGCGGTGTACCACGCCCAGCCAAGGCGGCTGCCAGCCACGGGGGATAACAACACCCCAACATGAAATGTATCTGAAAAAGGTTTGTCGAGTGTTTGAGTCTTAGTCAATTTGGCGCGGCTCTCCTGGCTGAGGGCCGGCCCCCGGCTGTCAGACGAGGAGGCTGGGGCCCTCCGGCGGAGCGAGGGGTGGGCCAAGGTGTCATCGCAGAGGTGGAGAAGGTGTGGGGTTTTCATCAAATTCAGGAAGTGACATCAGGACTGAGTCAGGGCGCCTGAGGCAAACTGAACTTGGCGGCTGGCATCCCCCCCCCAGACTTGCCGTTGCTCAACTCCACTCTCTCACTGCTGAAGGCCCAGCTCACATCATCCCCCCCAAAAAAAGAGAGTGTTAGAGCAGTGAAAACGAACAGGCACGGCCATCAATCCCCCCCCCCTGGACAACTCTCTGCGCCGCCACAACCAAACCACAGGCCCGGCACGCTGCTTGTGAGCAAAGGGCGATGGTGATGGCGAAGAGCTCAAAACTGACCGCGCTGCTCCAGACCTCTTGTTGAGAACTGTTGTTTCTCGTCCCCTTGTAGACATGGATTCCAGCTCCAACGGCTCCTGCGGGAACTCCAGCTCGATCCAGTCTGTTGTGTTCGCGGCGCTGTTCCCCCCGCTCTACGCCATCATCTTCATCGGGGGGCTCGTTCTCAACAGTCTGGCCGCCTGGATCTTCTTCCAGATCAAGAATCGGAGCAGCTTCATCCTCTATCTGAAGAACATCGCCGTGGCGGACTTGGTCATGACCCTGACTTTCCCCTTCACCATCGCCAGCGAGTCCGGCCTGGGGCCCTGGCAGCTGAAGGCCTTCGTGTGCCGCTATTCGGCGGTCGTGTTCTACGCCAGCATGTACGTCAGCCTCTCCTTCCTGGGCCTCATTAGCCTTGACAGATATCTCAAGATAGTAAAGCCCTTCGGGGAGTCTAAACTGTATAACTTCACTTTCACGAAGTTTGTGTCGATGGGCGTGTGGCTGGGCATGATATTCCTCTCGTTGCCAAACACCATATTGACCAACAAAACCCCAACATCCGAAAACGCCCACTGTTGCACCTACCTGAAAAGTGACCTTGGCCTAAAATGGCACGCAGCTGTGAGCTATATTAACATTTGCATTTTTATAGCGGTCTTGGTCATTCTCATCGCCAGTTACATATCGATCTACAAGCATGTCCACAGGTCGAACCAGCAGTTTGTGTGCACCGCCAAGAGGGAAACGAAACCCAGCCAGAATATTTATATCATCCTGGTGGTTTTTTCCATTTGCTTTGTGCCCTACCACCTGTGGAGGATCCCCTTCACCCTGAGTCAGATCGACAAGCACTTCGGCGAAGTCGGGGACGCCGTCCTCATGTACGGCAAAAGAATCACCCTGTTCATGTCGGCCTGCAACGTCTGCCTGGACCCGGTGATCTATTTCCTGATGTGCAAGTCCTTCACCAGAAAGCTAGGGAGAAAACTCCACCTGGGACACCACTCCTCCCTGAACGATTCCCGGCAGAGCACCCGGAGGACTCAGGTGCGGAGATTTCGAGAGTACCCCTCCGCCAGAGAGTAGGGACCACGCGATCTCTCGCATCTCCCAGTGCGTGTGCGGAAGGCTGCTTGAGGAACCTTTCAGAGTTTCTAGCAAGGACAGAACCCCCCCCCCAGTAAACAGGCCAGCACTTGTGGAATGTGCTGTAGGCAGAAACTGAGCAAATACAAGTGTTAAAAAGCTACTTTGCAGTAAAACCGCTGGTGTTATATACAGTAAGAATAGACTGGCAGTGCACTGTATGTTTCGGGCAGGAAACCCAAAAACAAAAGTCTGACACATATGTATGTGACTTTAAAGTAATATTTCACAAAGGGACGCTGCACCATATTTTCTCTGCTCTCTGTCGTGTCTGTAAACAAGAGTGGATTGCTGTGATCTCGGAGCCAAAGTCAGAGAGAGCTCTGAAGCCACACTGGAGCACTCTGAAGCAGTGAGGAAGCCACAGACACGAAGAAGAGCTGGGAGAGCTTTCTGCAGAACTAGCAGACGAACCTCGTGCTCTATTTCTGGCTGTGCAAAATGGGTCACAGCTGAAAGAAAAAAATATATATGTAATGTATGTGTGCGTGTGTATCTCTGTGTTTGTAAAGTGCTTATAAAGGCAGCTGGCCAATTCAAACAGCCCTACGGTAAAAACAGACCATCCTTGAACAACACCAGCGTCCACCACATTTTGTACCCCAGAAATTCGTCTTGATACCGATAATGTTCTTTTTCAAGAGCAAAGTGTATTTGTAACAAGTACAAGTAACAAGTGTAACGTAATGTAACAAGTACATTGGAAATCTCATTGGTGCTTGTTCTCTCTGTGTACAGATAGGTGAAGACAACAAGAAATAAAAACAATATTCAATGTACAATAGTAAACAACATTGTTCAGCATGCAGTGCACAAATACAACATTGAACAGCTAGTGTTAATCAATAATAGTTGGTAAATAATTTTGCATTTAGCATTAAGCTCCTGAGGCTAAAAGCTTTTTCTGAACCTGCCTTTTTCTGCCTGCCAGACCATAGAGGTGAGAATAGTGTGTGTCCAGGTGGTTATAAACCTATATCATCGCACAGGCTTTATTTCATTAACGGCTGGTATAGATCTGGCATAGATCAGCGGATGATAAGTCAGATTCACAAGCCCCTATATGGCCCTCCTGTCCTGTGTGGTTGCGTTGTCACACTAACAGTGATGCCACAAGTCAGTACACTCCCTGTGGTCCAAGAGTAAATGCTTATGCTAAATGAACATGTTCTGCATGGCCCTGTTTGTATGGGGGCCAGGTTTCAGGGCTGCACAGTGCATGGTTTCAGTGCAGCGCTTTCAGAAGGCAAACTGACTTTATCTGCACCCTGCACATAGCAGAGATAGCACAGGAAGGAAGTCTTTTCTTAAATCTATATTACAGCCAGGGAAGCCAGCACTCATCAGTAGAAAAAGTCCCTCTGGAAAAAAAAAACACATGGTGTATTGACTGCAAGGCACATTGGCATGCTTTATTTCTTTATTTTCGTAAGCCTTTCTAATGACCCTGTAAACGTCGCTAACAGATGTCCTAGGTGAAACACACAGACAGCTGGTGGCCGTAGAGGTAGAAGAATGGCCCATTTTCACTTGAGCATCACCCAGATCGCGCTCCAGGGTCAGCTCTGACCTATTTGCCCTGCAAAGCCACTGCCCTTGTTCCTCACCAATTAAATAAAAAGGGTGATTATCACTTGTGATTGCGCCACTGCACCCACACTGTAGTGCAGGGGCCAGCATTCGTGCTTCAGTCTAGATGGAGAACTAGTCCCTGATCTAAAAAAAACTCTGGCTCACCCACCAACCTCTAACCTGTACAAAGGCAGTTTCTCAACAGGCAGAATCAAAGTGCTTGTAAAAGCATTGAGGAGGCAGGCAGCTATTTGATTTCTACAGGCCTGGAGGTCCGAAGCCCAGCTGGGCCAAGCAAACCCTCAGCACTTCCTCTTGTTCTACCTTGAAAAGCCTGTTTTTGCTGGAACTGTTCCATGGCCCCGCAGGAAGAAAAAAAAAAAAACTCAACAGGACAAATGGCAGAAACCCACAGAGCACATGGTAGGAAAAAAAAACGGAACTGGGGAGATGTGAAACCATTGCAACCATCAGGGAAACTGCTGCCCAAGGCTTTTCAAAGCAGCACTGCAGTTTGGCTAAGTAAATAATAAACCTTGGGTGCTCTCACTACACGGACATTCACTGACCAACAATTACAGGTTTCATGTTGTGTCACAAAACCGGTGGACTGCTCCTTGCAGCCAGGTTGTTGCTCTGTGCTACAGCTCACCCTGCTGGTGACACCAGGAAGCCTCTTTTCTGTTTTTCCTGGTCTCTCCTCTGCACTGCAGGATTCCATGAGCAGGGCCAGCGACACCTGCGCTGTTACTCCAGTGGAAACGGTATCCCAGCTGGTTCCCTCCTACTATCAAGGCCAGGAATTTGATTTTTGTGCAGTTCTCTCCTGTAAACTGACACACAGACCTTTCGTTTGCAGTGCTTGCTCTTGTGTTTGCCCAGTACGGATGGAATGTGTGCTGGTACTGTTTCAATGTGCAGAGCTGTTTCAATGTGCAGAGCTTCCACATCATACAAGCTGAACAGGTGTGCCCCTTTCCTCTGAAGGTACATTGCACAGTCTTAACCTACATCACTGAGCAAACCCGAGGAAATCGAGATAAATCGAGGAGAGATACAACAGATGTTTTCCTCCAAACCTCTAGAAACCATCTCCTTCATGATCAGTCCTCATATCGGCCACCTCAGAGCCACATGAGTGCCAGTATTATATCCTCAGCAGGCTACTCGCCCTCTGGCCTGTTACACTCACAGAGTATTAAATCACGGATGTTCATGCCACTTATTACTGTGACAGAACAGGTGAGAGAGGGGAAGTAAGAAAAACTCCCCTGAGGGAGGAGAACAGCTGTTCCAAAGAATTGATTTTCATACATTCAATTGAGGAAGAATGCCTGTTTCTTAAAAAAGAAAACTTAGATGCATCAAAACCTTACTAATATATTAGTGCTGTATATTGGTCACACTGTCCTAACTTGGCGCTCTGTGTGAATTAACCACTGCCTTTTTATCACCATAGATGAAAGTTCTCATAGACTGTGAGACCACCTCAGGATAAATACAGCCCTGCCATATTAAAACGAGCAGTTGTGATCTTGTATACATGTATCACGGCAGTAATCTCAGTCACACAGACAAGCACAGCACCATCTGGTACAGAACACCACTGAAGAGAGCCATCATTAATTAAGCTGGGCACATGGGAGATATGATAAAAACACATTCCCCACACTTTAGAACTTTAATTAGTTTGAGTTTCAGTCTCTCAGCTTCAGACTTTCAGTCATGCTTCAGATATTTTGTTGGTGAAGAGATTTTGGGATTGAGTGCAATGGGTCATGTGCACTCTTAGATCTGCCAAGTTCTTAAACAACAGGAAGAAAGTTTTTTTTTTCTTGAATGGTCATATTTACGAAAAGGAGAAGTGATACAGCTATTGCTTTCTGGTTTCAGAAGAGCCTTTGAAGAGCTGGTAGCTGTAACACCTCTGTAACTTCAGGTACTTTGTGTTTTCATCATTCATTTGGGCTCCTTTAAATCAAGCTATACAGCTGTTAAAAGCACAAATCAAACTTCATCAATACTTTAAATATTTACGTCTAGTGATATCAGTAAGTATTCATTCCTTAAGATCTCTTTAAAAAATCAAACACTGTATGAAAATGATGAAGAAGGTATGAAAAAACTTTGACTGTCTTTAAACATGACATTATATATCGCTGGTTTATAGACAAGGCATTTCTTGAAAAGAGTAGGGGTGTAACCCTGGCCACATTTCCCATTGGCCCTTACCAATCATGGCCTCCTAATAATCCCCATCTATGAACTCGCTTCATTACTCTGCTCTCCTCCCCACTGAGAGCTGATGTGTGGTGAGCGTTCTGGCGCACTATGGCTGCCGTCGCATCATCCAGGTGGGGCTGCACATTGGTGGGGGTGGAGGGGATCTCCATGATCTGTAAAGCGCTTTGAGTGGAGTGTCCAGAAAAGTGCTATATAAGTGCAAGCAATTATTAATTATTATTATTATTATTATTATTATTACACACAGCATGGGTTCCAGTCACGCCTGTGTGCTAAACGTGCACAGTAGGCCAACTGCAGCCCAGGGTGCAGTTCCAGGTGCTGCCTGTAGAGATCTAAGGTCACAATCCTTGTTGACACCATCTAAAAGAATTTCGTCCCCATTCTTCATTTAGAGCTGCTGCAGTTAAAAGTCAAGACTGAGAAACCTAAGCAGCCTACAGTAGTTCTTCTGCGTGGAAAAGAATGGGGTGAATGTCTCCTCTGTTTTGAGGGATAAGGAAGATTTTTTCAAGAGCATGAACACAGGAAGCTGGTGTTGCAGTTCACTGTCTGCGGTCAGCTTGTCCATTGAACGTGCTTTATGTGCACAGTATTGAATTGGGCGAAACACAGACATAAAAAGGCATTGTATATGTGAATTACAGATGAGACACACCCCACAACATAATGAAAATACACCATCTGATGGTTTTTGATGTATACACTGTTGTTGTTGTTGTTGTTGTTCTTGTTGTTGTTATGTGTTTATAATTACATACTTCTTCAGCCACAATGAAACTGTGACTCTTCACAGTTTTTAACACAGAGAGAGCGGGACTGTGTTCAGACGTTATGGCTGTTGCAGCAGGAAGCCCTGGTCAGCAGGAAAAGCAAAGTAATGTACTTGAATGCATTCAGAATTGAGAGACTCTCTATCTTGTGAAAAACAGCCCTTGGCTACCACTACAACAAATATTGTACTGTATAACATGCTGGGAAATGCGGTTGTGGTAGTTTGGTCCTGTTACAACTGGATCCACCACACAATTCGGAATCGCCAGCTAAAAATCAATGTCAGACGCCCGCAGGAGCTGATAAGCCGTGCAGACAAAGAAACAACACAGCTCGTTCTTTATCGTGCTGTTACAGAGGTGTTGCAGTTAACTATTTTGTTGAGGCTTTTTTCCTCCCAATAATACACTGAAATATAATACGTGTTTCGAAAACCAAGGACTCCGAATCATTCACAAAGGTAAGCCTCCGCAAACAGGAGCGCTGTGCAGCGAGTCATCGGAACTTGCGTCTGCAAAATACGAAACCTTCATTTTCGTGTTTGTGTCGTTACATTTCAATGAAAGGCGTTTCAGTTAAAGTTTTATTCTATTCTAAACTCTAAAAAAAAAAAATAGCCGATGATTGAATCGTGCAAAGATCTCGGACGGTATTCGTTACAGGCTTATTTAATCAAAGAGGAGGGAAAAAATCCTCTCAAAACTTGTCGCCTGGTGTTAACTGAATAAATGTTTTCCTTAAATGCAATCCGAAATCGCCAGCCTGCCCGTATAGCAACCACACGCAGCAACTTAGGAAAACCCTCAGCGCCTCCTCGTTCCCCGAAACACACTGCCTGACACAAATATACTTCCTCTCTGTGGGTGACGAGCAGGCGACTATCCTGCAACTCTGTGTTTCCATCCCGTCCACAACGAAGTGACAGGAAATCAGCTGACGCTGACAATAGTGTTTGTTTGTTTTTTTAAAATTCGCTCTGAGGAGCAACATATCAACACCAACTGTAAAACATGGTACAGAACTGGAAGCAAACAGCAGCGTTTTGGCAGTGACACCTAAAACGTCTCGTCAGTTTAAGTGTGGTCACAGGTGATTTTTTCGGGGGCGGGGATTTCATGTCTGAAAATCAGAATGCCACCAATGTTTAGAAACGCTTTTCTTTGGGAAGGACACCACAATGATTTTCATATTGGGAAAAAAAATTGTATCTGCCCATGAAGCGCAGCACATCCCTGAATGAGGCCGTTCCGTGCCAGTGAACATCGTGCAGCTAAAAAAACTAAGAACTCAATCCGCCTACTTGCTGTAACACTGACAGTTTATTGAAAACGTGAGGTACTGTGGAGTGTTCTGTGCATTTTATGCTTAATTATCTGGGTGTACAATCTCAGACGCTGAAAATAAAAAAAACATGTGAAAAAATCAAGTGGTAGGTACAGTACACAGCTCCTTAACACTAAAGAGAAGTTATGACATTGTTCGTATCTCACCTTGGGCTTGGCAGTCTCAGGTGTGAAAACCTCAAAGACAGCACACAGCACTGGGTTTCTGTTTTAGTTCGCAACTTCCATTGAATTCAGCAGTTCGGTCAAACGCTAATTCATGAAATGTGGCAGCAAAGTTGATCGTTCACTGTAAGGATGATGTAGAGGGTGTTTTCCCTGGCTCCCCAACTCACGCGACAATACCAGCCTGGCCGCACAGATGAAGGGGGTTTGAAGGGGGTTTGAAGGTCGCCCTGTGACCCAAATGGTAAAGCCTCATGGTAAAGCTGTTGTTGCACAACATGTTGGTTGATTAGGGTTCGGAGGACCAGCGGCCTAGGGTAGGGTCTGATGGCAAAGACTGAGATTCCCAGAGGCATCCCCGAGTGAAGGTGCTTCACTGACATGGCAGAAGCTGACTCCTGTGTGGACAACTCCACCGAGTACCAGACTTAAAATCTGAATTGGTAGAAACCTGAGTGCCACATGCATTTGACCATATTAAAGGATAGTATGTCTGGGCTTATGCATTATAAACTATGATAATAATTATATAAATAAACTGTTCAAAGAGAAGAATGATATAATTGCTCCTTTGGTGTCCTTCCTAACACTGACTTTTATTTGTGTAAACAGTGACAGGGCTGCACATTTGTTTAAGAGGCAGTCATGCTATAAACTCAAGATGCCGGGAAGGATGCGCAGATCAGAGACCAGCTAGAGAAAGACAGGACTGGCGTTCCAGTTCTGGGATAGTGTAAACTCCAACTCTCCGCATGGACTAAAAGATTATAGATAGGAGCCTCAGGAGCCTCAACTCTAGTTTTCCATAACAACGAAAAACAGATGCCTAAAGATAAATGTTCATGGACACCCTTTGAGGTAAGAAATGTGACTTAAGTTAATGGCCATCAAGTTTCATATTTTTAAACATTCTTAATCCATGATTACTCTTCCCTCTGGGTTTTCATAACAGTCTTAGAACAGTATTAATCCTTTCCTTAAGTGCAAATGATAGAATATTATCCAGCCCTGGAGATTTGTCCTTAAGCACTTCTGAGGAGGAATGATTGACGGTTGATATGTTCTGTACTTTAAGGTCATGTTCCAATTCTTAGAACACAGTCACCCCGATAAAAACACAATGTTCCAGTGTACTGAGAAACAAACACCCCCCTCTCTCTCTGACAATTAGTTCCTGGTGTATTTCAAATGAGTAAAATAGTAAAATAGTGCCATGCTGAAAAAAGTTAACTGTAGTTTCCTTACAAACTTTCTCTTTCGAAGTAATATTTGCATTCACACCTCAGCCTCTGTGCTGTTCCTTTGCTGCAACTGTCCAATGTTTCGTCTTTATGAGAGGGGTCGTGTCACATAGCATACATGAACCAATCAACCACACCAGCCAAATACATAAATACCAGAACTCAAGACAGATACTTGCTCACTGCACAAGGCATTAAGACCTCGATTTGTGGCTAGACTGACATTTCCTTTTTGTTCATTACATCCTTCCAAAACGGCGAGGAGAACACAACTTTTTCCTGGTGTAGGTAATGTAATAATTGCATAATTCTTCCTTCCTCTATATTTTTTTAGTATTCTTCATTATTCAAGGTTAATAGATAAGCATCAATGACTCACTAGCTGGACATTGTAAGAGACACCAGTAAGTTATGTAATTTTTTTAAGAGTAACTGAATATTTGTGAAATATCTGCTTGGGTAATTTTTCTAAACTGAAACATGCATTAAAATGTCATGTAGCCTGATGTTAATATAAATTCAGAACTATAAACTATGCTTTGCACCACAACTGAAAGTCTGGATTTCAAAGAAAGAGCAAACCAATTCAATGCCAAACATGTGCTAACAAGTGAGTTAAATTAATATATGGACCTAGAGATAAAACATGTGTTCAAAAAAGAAATCAGTGCAGATCTCAATGCATGTGCCTGCTTAAATAAAAACATTTGCAACTACAGTAACATGATGTGTCTCTTGTTTTCTTAAAGGCTGACATGGATTCAAACAACCTCACTAACTTAAACAGCAATGTCACGGACTTCAGCAGTGCTTTTATAAAGACAGCGCTGCCCGTCTTCTACTGCCTGATCTTCGCTGGGGGACTCATTCTGAACTGTTTGGCTGCCTTGATCTTCTTCAGAATCCCAGCAACACCAGCTTTATCATTTACCTCAAGAACATTGTGGTCGCCGACCTTTTGACGACCCTGACATTTCCGTTCAAGATTGTGAACGATTTTGGCTCGGGGGGCTGGCGGATGAGGGTGATCGTGTGCCGTTACACGGCTGTCATTTTCTACATGAACATGTATGTTGGGATCACCTTCCTGGGGCTGATCAGTTTGGAACGATACCTGAAAATCGTCCGGTCCTCTGGTGCCTCTGTTATGCAGAATGTCACCTATGCTAGAGTGATCTGTGCAGCAACCTGGTCACTGTTCCTCCTTCTCCTTCCAAACTCAATACTGACCAGCAATGAGGCAACTGAAGAGACATCTCGGCACTGCATGAAACTCAAAACAGAGCTGGGGGTGCAGTGGCACAAGTTTTCAAGTTATTTCTGTGTGAGTATCTTCTGGGCTGTGTTTCTGCTGATGGGGATTTGCTACGCCTCAATAACCAAGAAGATCTATGACTCCTACCAAAAGTGCAGGAGAGACAGGACTGAGACCAGGAAAAAGTCCAACCAGAACATTTTTAGCATTTTGGCAGTCTTTTTTATCTGTTTTTTTCCCTATCATGTTTGTAGAATTCCCTATACCTTAAGTCAGACAAACCATTCATTCAGCAGACAGAGCCGGTTTGTGCTGCTTCACCTCAAGGAAAGTGCACAGTTCTTGATGTCTCTGAATGTCTGTCTAGACCCCATCATTTATTTCCTGATGTGTAAGCTGTTCAGAGAATTACTCATCAAAAGATTCTCGAAGAAAGCCCCCGACGTGAGGGGGAGATCGCTCTCTGTTGTTCCTAGCATTAGGACAAACTGAGTTGAAGTGGAAGAAACTACTGTGGATTGTTAGCATAAAATCGCTTAGGTGTTTGTTAGTAAGACTCAGGATGAGAATCTGAGCCCAACCACCAAGAAAAGATTCATGCAGTTGGATGTCATATTCAAAAAAGTAAATTAATTTACTGCTGGGTTACAAAACAGCAAGAGGATGTAATAATTCAACCTAATGGCTTTCTGGGGAACTTTGATGCTTTGAAACCGGAAGCGTAGGGAGGAAAGTGTGGTTAAAACTAATTAAACCTAAGCCAGTGAACCACGGATGTAAAAAGAGTTCAAGTTAACAAGATGAAGATTATAAATATTTCAGAGCAAAAGCCAGGTACTGCAGACTGCGAAAACTGGATAATGTGGGTTGATTCATCACACAACGTCTGGAAATGTGTTAGAGGTTCCCTCTTCTCGTGAAGCAACTCAGGCTTCGTCTGACAGTACCCAGGCAGAAAGTGTGGTTTTGAATAACCGGACACCCAGAGCCCATCTAAGACACCCATGTTGTTCGAACAGGGGCTCCTAGTACTTGTCCATGAAAAAGACGAGGATTGGTGCTTGCAGGGCATCAGTGTTTTGAATTAATTAGTCTTTTATCTCACACATTGTCCTCCTTTTAGTACAGTTCTTTCCTCACCAATTTGCACCTCTATGAATGTCTGAAAGGTGATCTCTGAGTTGATAGACATTCCAGTGCTCTCCGGGGTAAGTGGCTGCTTGCACAGAGATCGAAAAGCTAGGATGCTATCAAGAAGCCCGTGAGCCGATTCTTCAAAACCAGGTAAGTACAAGTATAAGTGACAAAGGCCAAGACATCATACCTGGTTGCAAATTTGTTTAATGAATTACCTTTACTATTTACAACAGTCCTTGTACATGAATTGTATGTTCTATATAATTTCGTAATATGTTTGATGAAAGTTGTAAATATTTTTTTCACCGGGGGGGCAACAGCATCCAAGAACTGAATGCTTTGTGACTGTTTGGAATATTTTGTGAGATGAAGGTTAGGCTTGGTTAGTGGGCAGCCTCCTGGCCACAGGACGAGAAGACTCGAACCCCATTCAGAGTGAGTGAACCAGGGGGCAGCTGCCCAGGTGGAGATGGGCTGGAGGTGTGATTCCTGAGACGAATGCGAAGGGAGGTGTTTGAGTTCGATATATAGAGCTAATTTCCATCATGGTGGGGATAAATAACAACTGCGAGAGATTGACTTGTCATTGTTATCCCACTTGAACCTCAGTTAATAACTTCCTTTAATCCAGCATCCTCTTGTAAAAGTCTTCTGACCTTTCGTAGAGGATGTTCCTTGAACAAAGAGCTCTCAATGTTCAGGGGGACATTAAGGGATACATGCACTTTATGTAAGGATCAGGCCAAGACACACACTGCTTACTTTTTAAACTAAGCCAGATGTGCTGTCTTGTGCAGTGCCAACACAACCTTTCTGATCTTTATCATCCTACATACTTTTTGCAAAACAAGTAAATGATAATGTATACATACAGGAGAATAAAATGTTTGAAGGAAACACTGGTTGTCTCCTAACCTTTTTTTTCTTTTCAATCCCAATACAGATGTCATTGTCATTGAAGAAAAAGGCTCAACATGCTTGAATATACGAACCTGTTCCAGAGCTGGCCATTGAGGAGGAAGAGATCAAAGCCATGAGGTGAGGAACCCCATCACCCCAAATTCATACACACCCAGGCCGAGAGTAGTCAAGATACATGTGTCTACACGTGATTAGCTCTGTGCAGAGCAACACTTTGGACATGTGAGACTTGTTTTTGCCTCTCAATCTGAAGTGCAATCAAATCTACAGAATACATCTCCTTGCATTGCAGAGAGTATTTAAAAAGCACATGCAAAGCTGCTGCAAACCCATGCATGTTCTGACAGAAGAAATGCAAAGACTGGAAGACTCTAGCAAACTGCTTTGTATATAACACTGTTGTCCCAGCACTTCTCCATGGCTGTAAAAGCTGGGAAATGCAGTTGTGTGGAGCAGAGGTCAGGGCTTTGAACTGCAGGCTGGAGTGTTGAAGGTTCAAGTCCCGGTTGTGTCCTTGAGCCAAATATCATGCAAAGTGCTTCAGTAAGTGTCCTGCTGCATGAAGGGGCCTCCCTCCAGGTCATCTGGTTTTAAATGAGAATCTGCTCTTGAGTGGCTTGCCTTGTAAAGCAAATGAGTGCCTCATACGAAGATCTGCGTCAGTGGGCCGCCAGCACAGAAGCTCCTGCAACGAGCCCACCACTGCATGCGTATGCGCCACGCTCCTTCAGCACTGCAGCCTACACAGCTGCAGTGTGGCTCAGCCCACTGGCCAAGATCCCCACCTGATCCCCATCTGCCACCTGTGCAAGAGGGCACCCGTGACTCTGACTGCCGTGGCCTCCAAAGCTTTTGTTAAAGAATAAATGACACATGATGTGGGAAAGTCATGGTACCGTCACCACGGCAGCGTTTTTTCAGTTCTTGCATCAGGAGGCCATCTCTGTCTGCTGGGCTAGGCTCCCGCTCGCTGTGATCCTCCACAGGGTGGAAGGAAAGATTATGGCTTGTGGGCTGGTTTTTTATTTACTGTATGTACTACTTAGAACGAAAGTGAATATCCTTGTTTCTGAAGGGAGAATTCCCACAAGTGTTCAAAACTAAAAAAGGAAACTGACCCAGAACAACCCCTTACTCGTGGAGATCTCAGAGTTAGGACTTCTCCAGTAACTCACAGGAAGATACTGTTCATTTCTGATCGCATACACTCAATCCCTTGCAGTCGGAGGCAGGGGGCATCTTGCAAAGGCAATGATTTACAGTGTAATCATGTCTTTCCCAGAGCCTTCTGAAGAGTTCTAGCTCGAGAGATTTTCCTCCCATCCAAAATGAGAGACAACAGTATTTTGACCAAAGCAGTAACAATACAGGCGTTTTCTTTATTGTCAATGTTTTCTAATCTTATTTTTCAGTGCTAATCCAATGATTTTTTAAAAGAAATTAATATCTTACTTAAACATGAAGGAGCCCTAGTGTTATGATCCACAGAGGAGTGGGTCCACAGTGAGTTTACAAATACTTTGTGTCAAAATGCTCAAAAAGGTTATGTACAAATCTTACAGGGCTACTTTAATCTTTTAGACCAGTGAATGAAAAACTGGTAACTGGTCTTTAGCACTTACCAGTGTTACCAGTTTCCGGATTAGAAACATGACTGACAGCTGCTGTGTCCGACAGCACTGCATTGATATCCTGTTCAGGTTCTCAGAAATAGCCTCACAATGTTCTAACGATCTGTGAAATTAGAACAGTAACTGTCATTTCCTCTCTCTCTCTGATGTGTATAAAATACGATGGACCATTTCCGATTTCTAAGAAGAAAGATAATACAACACTTTGCCCATTTCTAAGCAAAACAGGTGCTCTCTAAAATACCTCCATTTCAATCCTTTTTCACTTTCCAAAGTGACTGGGTGAATGAGGAAGGACCTATCATTAAGTAGGAAACCGAGAGTACCCGTTTTTAGTACAGAAAGACATTGAAACAGGGAAACATTTGATTCTTTCTTCCTGCAGCCACTCAGCTTGTTGGTCATGGAGAGGGAGGTGCTGTGTCAGCTGCAGTGTGACTGAATACTCTTGAGTTGTATATACAGTATCTCTGCAGTCTGCCCACGTCCCTGAGAAACCAAGCCTGGAAATATCTCAGTGTCTATGAGCACTAGAACATAAAGGACGGACACTCGCAGACTGAAGAAGGTGCTCATGATTCATACTGAAGATACAGATTTCAAACTTGACTGAAACACTTATCAATCACATTCTGCTTTTTTTAAACTGTAGCACCCGATCAACAATTTCGCAGTGGGAAAGACATGAACAGCTATGATTCACGAGGTGAACATCTAAGAAGATTATGGTGAGTTATTGTATCTCAAGATTAACTCGATGTGTCACAAGGAAATGTTGAAAATGTCTGAAACTTACTGTATCATAGTATAAAATTATTTGCCTCCAAAGGCAGTAAGAAAAACTGGGCTAAAACGAAAAAAAGAAAGAGTTTGATTTTAAAACATTCCTAACAACCACAAAAGAATGTGACACTGACTAGTTATCATAACATTTAAATGTTTTATATATTTAGATCACAAACCTACATTCTTTGTACGCAGACTCGTTTGTCAGAAATAACATTAGGCAGTCCGAGATTAATCCTAATCAGACTCTGTAAAACCACAAGATGTTTATTTGAATCAGGACAGATTAAAAAGAAAAGAATGTGAAACCATAGTAACATATGTGTCTCTGTTGATTCTAAAGGCTGACATGGATTCAGACAACCTCACTAACTTAAACAGCAATGTCACGGACTTCAGCAGTGCTTTTATAAAGACAGCGCTGCCCGTCTTCTACTGCCTGATCTTCGCTGGGGGACTCATTCTGAACTGTTTGGCTGCCTTGATCTTCTTCAGAATTCCCAGCAACACCAGCTTTATCATTTACCTCAAGAACATTGTGGTCGCCGACCTTTTGATGACCCTGACGTTTCCGTTCAAGATTGTGAACGATTTTGGCTCGGGGGGCTGGCGGATGAGGGTGATCGTGTGCCGTTACACGGCTGTTGTTTTCTACATGAACATGTATGTTGGGATCACCTTCCTGGGGCTGATCAGTTTGGAACGATACCTGAAAATCGTCCGGTCCTCTGGTGCCTCTGTTATGCAGAATGTCACCTATGCTAGAGTGATCTGTGCAGCAACCTGGTGCCTTCTCATCTTTTTTAATCTACCAAATTCAATACTGACCAGCAAAGAAGCTACAGAAGAAACATCTTGGCACTGCATCAGACTCAAAACAGAACTGGGGGTGCAGTGGCACAAAGTGACCAACTACTTCTCCGTCAGTATCTTCTGGGCTGTGTTTCTGCTGATGGGATTTTGCTACGCCTCAATAACCAAGAAGATCTATGACTCCTACCAAAAGTGCAGGAGAGACAGGACTGAGACCAGGAAAAAGTCAAACCGGAACATATTTAGCATTTTGGTGGTGTTTTTTATCTGTTTTGTCCCATACCATGCTTGTAGAATTTCTTACACCTTAAGTCAGACTGCAGGCTCATTCAGTGCACAGAGCAAGTTTGTGCTGTTCCACCTAAAGGAAAGCACCCTGATGCTGTCAGCTTTGAATGTCTGTCTTGACCCTGTGATTTATTTCCTCATGTGTAAACTGTTCAGAGAGCTACTTCTAGAAAGATTCTCTGAGAAAAGCACCGAAATGAGAAGAAAATCCGTCTCTTACAGTGCCACTACAGTGTGAAGAGCTGTAAATGTTTTTCAGAAAGGAAAGGCGCAGACTTGCAGAAAGACAAAGTCTTGATACCACTCTCTCTGTCCACTCTCACTGTCCATTAGTAAATCTGAGTATGGGCTTGACCCAATGGTACCTGCAAGTGAAGATCTCATGTTCCATGTCAAAGTTATGATTTATTCATAGCTTAATAATATAAGGGGATAGGATTTGGGAAGTCTTAGGTTTGATGCTGTTAAGTACTTAACTTAATATTTAATCAATAGTAGTAACTTCTCTTCTCTTGACAAGTACTGTACATATGTATGCAGACAAGGCAGAGGGTCGATTTAATGTCTTGAAAATATGTTGTATATGTCCTGTTTGAAAGTATTGATTTAATTATTTAGAACTGTGAATGGGTGAGGTGGGAAAATAAATAAAATCTATTTAATAAATTCTGTGATTACATGAATTGCAGTGTTCTGGTACGTTCGGTTCAAGTTTTACCAGATGGAAGAAAGCTACCCTCCTTGTTACTAATATTTACTGCTCAGAAAAAAAAGCTTTTAACAGGTTTAACTGAAAATCAAGTTAAACATCATGCAATGTAAACAAACAGCCAAGCACGTTTTTTTCCCTAATGCAAGGCAACAAAAAGAATGTCTTTACAGCTTAGCAACAGTCAGTACAGTTTCGATATGTGCCCACTAGGGGGGGCTATAGGCACATAATTCCTTTTGTTGAGGAGCGCAGATGGAAAAGAATCAGGTTTGGCTCAGTGTACGTTTTGCAGCCCCTAGCGGAAGGGTGCATGAGATGCACCACAGCTCAACCAGTGTGGAAGTTAGCAGACAACAGCCTCTGCACATCACAGCTCTCAGATTCAGCACAGCTTAATGGTCTGATATGTTGTGGTTATGTTCTGTTTCACCTCAAGTCGTGTACTTCCTTCGATCCCCCTCAGTAAAAAAAGTTCTCTCTCAGAGCCAACAGCTTAATCACAGGTTTCAAGTTAACTACAGCCATCATAAAGATCACCTGTAGAAACCAGGACTGACTCAAAGTGCCGGTCAACTAGGTGAGTAAACCCTCTTTGTCCGTTACTGATTGTTAGCGTGAAGGTCCTCTCTGTTTGATACAATACGCGCTTTTGCTGAATGATGCTGCATAGCATATGCGCAAACCATGGCAGTTTAACAACACATTACCCGTGTGCATAGCATGGACACAGCACAATAATGTGCAAATCTGTACAGGTTAATATTATACCCCAAAAGACCAATTGAACTAGATTTGAGTGGGAAGCTACATCAGCTTGTGTTGGCTGCAAGGAAGCAAGCAAAAGTTAATTCCTTTCGACATAACATAAATAAACAAAAAGAATGGACTGACACCTTTGATGACACCCGAAGAAGGCTCGACAGCGGAAACGTTGTTTCTTCTTTCTATTTTTCACTGATTAACCTTTTCTTGTTCAATTGTGCTATACTACAAAATGTGCTTTTTTTGCTGTAATTTCCATGAATGTAAAAAAAAAACATCAAAGGACAAATTCCAACATGTGCTGCAGACAAAAAAACAAAGGTGGGAGAAGAGGCATTTGGCTGAGGTGCCTCGGTTTCGGTGCTGGCAAAAAGCAGCATATCAGCGCTTCCACAGATAAGAGTGGCTTCTGCAAATGAGCTAGGGAAGCCTCTGTACTGTTAAGTAAAAAAGTAAGAAGAAAACTGCAACATTTCAGATGTGGAGCTTTCTTTCGAGGTGAGAAGGAGCAGGAATGTAAGGATTCGGAGGACACAAGACAATGTCAATTACAAAGAGATGGACGTCTGGGAGGTGAATTCTAGGCAAAGTGTGGAAGGAAGAAATCTGTAAAAGGAATGGAAAAACTGAATTTAAATCAATTATTGAGAATGTGGGAAGGTGCGAGTCACGTTTAAGGCTTATTTTGGTGATGGCTTTCTGGAGTAGAAGTCTTCAGATCCCAGTGAAAGGATATGGAGGCAGGCAGAAAGATCATTGTAATCGTGGGCAGGAGAGGTAAATGGAGAACTGCCAGCTGTTTCCCCATTTGACCTCTCCCATCTATGACTACACTCACCACTCTGTGACATTTCACAGAGATAGATGCAGCACCTAAAGTCTCCAGGAAACTTGAGGTCACTCTGATCTTGAAAGGTCTGCTGCTACATTAACTTTCAGCTCTCATGCAGAGCCAGAAGTCCCTCAATTAATTAAGAACTAATTAATTAATGGAGAACTCGGGTTTGTAAGGGAATCTTAAATTCAGGGGGAACAAAATCCATCCAATGTTCAAACCGTGTGGTGAGGTGTGTCAAAAAGCTGGGATATATTTTTGCAGCACATCTGAATTTTGATATCATCCTCCGATTCTACCTGCCTGCAATGCAGTGAAGAGAAGGCATGCATGCTGATGATTTACTGTGTGTGGTTTTATTTATTTATAGGAATGCCAGTCATGGATATTCTGGTAAATGAGTCGACAAAGGATGGCCTATGTGACTATGAGAAGGGTCCCATCCACACTGCCCTCACCATCGCCTACTCCCTGGTGTTTGCTGCAGGAATTGTTCTGAATAGCCTCACCTTGTGGGTGTCCTTCTGTCACACGCACAACAAGTGCTGCGTCACCGTCTACTTGAAGAACCTCGCCATTGCAGACTTCCTGCTGGTTTTATCTTTGCCTGTGAAGATCGTAGATTATTCCATGGACTCTGAGGGGGTCAGAAAGACCTACTGCACCTTGGTAGCTTCCGCGTTTTACCTGAACATCTACGCCAGCATCCTGTTTATGGAACACATCGGGGTGAACAGATATCTCAAAATCGTGAGACCGCTGGAAAATCATGTGTTTCAGACAGTTCGCGCCGCGAAATACATCTCGCTAGGAACCTGGGGGCTCCTCCTCATTATAGCCTCAACATTTGCAGTTCTCTCCCTGGAAACATTTTGGTCTTCTCTTAACTCTACCGCTGGCCAAAGTAAGATGTGTTACATGGTCCTGTCTCCAGCCGGGAAGCAATTCTACGTCTTCATCCACTTCCTCTCCATCGTCTTATTCATTTTCGTGCTAGCGTCTCTGTCCTTCTTTTACTTCCAGACCGCGAAAAGGCTGAAGGCCACCAAGCACGCTGCCAACAAAAAACTGCAGAAGTCGAAAAAAAACATAAGCGTGCTGATCACCGTTTTCTGCGTCTGCTTTGTTCCGTACCATCTGCTGCGGGTTCTTTACCTCCTCACGAAAAACAAGGTGATTGACGACTGTGACGCAAAAAGGGTAATCTATTACCTGAAGGAGTTCACAATCGTTCTCTCCTCTCTGAATGCCTGCCTGGACCCCTTCATTTACTTCATCTTTTGCAAAGCCTTCAGGGCCAAGATAGGTTTGTTAAAATTCCTAAGAAGAAATGAAAAGCTGTCAGCTGACCACCCGAAAGTCAGATCAGAGGTGAATGATTCTGTGTATGATTTCACAACTAGACCAAGCAGCCCTTCGATGGCAGTCAGAGAGTCCTTGAGTATACAAGGATCCTGAAGTTTCATCCACCCCACCCCATTCTCACGGGGACGCGGCCGCATGCATGGCGATCTGAGAAAAGCCCGAGTCGTGTCCAGCGATGTACAGCATGTGCACATGCAGGCCTGAAAACAAGCGGCGCATGCTTGCACAAAGGGCAGTGGGTGCGTGGAACAAGCTGCCAGGCGGTGCTGTTGAAGACACTTCCCTTGGATCCTTCAAGATATGGCTGGATGAGATACGCAAAATAATAAGCAGCCCAACAAGCCATAAGTGACAAATGGCCTCAGGCTGTTCATATTATTCTTTTCTTATGTTATTAAATTAATTAATCAGCTCTATTGGGGCGTCTTCAGTGCCAAGACTTTTTTGGTCTGCGTGGAGGCATTTTTTCCCATAATGCATTCTCATCATCATTTCTGTCTTATAAAAAATCTAAGTATATGTGGCGTTAATTTGTGGCTACTTTGGCACCAGTTTCAGTAGATTTTAATTACAATAGATCTATAGTGTCTTGATCTATAGATCTATAGGGATTTTTACAAAGTATTCGAGCTATGTGCTATATTTACACCATAATTTTTAATTGTATCTTTCCTAATAAAAAAGCAAGATTCTGATCTGAGCTTTTGCTCTGCCCCTTTTCTTTCATTCTTCAGGGTTTATGTACTGTATCCCTTTTACATCAGACCCTCCCAGCATCTTATTTTTTTTTTATGCATATGAAATATCTGCCAGTTCACTGGAGCAGACGGGAGCTCAAACACTGAAGATCTATTTCCTGAAACTTTCCTTGACTTTCGCCAGTCGGGTGTATTTCAAGAAACATGACTAACACAGAATGAATGAGAAAGTTTATTTATAAAAAAGCAAAAAGGTCATATTCTTAAAAGTTAATACCATCATGTGGTTGTTTAAACACACGACGGTAAATTAAACATCAATAATGTTCAACATTGTGGCTCCAGTCATGACCCTCTGCATTTTAAATGAAGTCCCTTGACCTGGCATTTCCTGTCTCCATTTTGTCATAGTTTTTTGTTGGGGTTTTGGTTTCAGAGCTCCAAAGCCACACCATACAAACACTGCGAGAGAAAGATCTGCTGCCTCATTTCAACGCTGCAGGCGTTGGCGAGCAAATGTCGGGAGCTTTCTGAACAAAAAGGGGGCTGGCCCTTAACCTTAAGCAGGTTAGGACGACTCACTGTACCTAAATTCTCATTAAACATCCTCAAACGCAGCCAATCCCTGAGTCCCGTAGCTCTGGCAAGGAGTTATTTTCTGCAGCATGACTGTGTCCTCTCAGTCACTGCAGTCCGCAAGATTATCGAGTGCATTGAGCTGGTGTTGGCCTGCACTGTGTCAGCTGGGCTTATACCAATGCTTTTAACTAGGAAGCTTGAAATAAAAGGGTACTGCAAAGCCACATCACTCCTACTTCCTTAATGTTCAGCATTTTAGATTCTCTCCAGGTCTCTGCTGTGATGATACTTTCTCACTATGAGCAAGAGCCCCAGTGTCTAACACAGGGCCTGATCCACACAGAGATTTGAGGTCAAAGTGCCGAGAATGGATAGTTCTGTGTAACCTGTACTGGCAATATCTCACAACAATAAGAACACAGCAGATTCAGGGAGGAAAAAATAACAAAGTAGAGGTTTCCGCTTGCTTTCCAAGCTGGCTTTCATACACAAAAGTAGAAACTTCCCCTACATTAGCAATATTAGCTAACTGTCTAATTATAAATAGTTTTTTGCATACTGTACAGGAAAAAGTGCTCGGGTGAAGTTTTGTATCAGCTGTTTAGTCATCCAAAAGAAGACTTCTACCAGTTTACCAGAAGACTGTCAGTAAACTCCACATCAGTCACTGTTCCCAGCATGTCTATTACACATTCAGACACACAGACACACACACACGGCACGGCACGCAGAAAAAGGCTGCCTGAGTTCTGTCTGAAGCAGGCCTGGTGAGGTTTTGGAAAGTTTGGGTTTCAGTTACGTCAATCGATTGTGGTTACCGAGACACGAGAGGCCCGGAAGCTGCTGGAGGAGCTGTGTCTCTCTCAATTAAATGCCACATGAACTCTCGCGCGCCAGCTTGCCTTCGGACCTGGAGTCTGAAGGGCTTGCAGTTTTAGATGGTTCAGACCCTGTACTGCACTGAAAGAAAAAGACGAGGTAAGTCCTCTTCAGTGAATTCGCTGTGTGTGCTCGTTTCCTGTGCGTCTCACTGCATTCGTGTGCTTTATTTCCTTTAAGAGTTTTCATGAGCCTCTGCTCAGAGCCTTGGATCAGGTAAAGCACGGCACAGAGAGCGGCCTAGAAGAGCAGGATCATTCAGTGATTTTCTTTATGATCTAAATTAAGATTTGTACTGCTTTTTTTAAAAAAAATATTAAACTGAACATCATAATGCCTTATCTGCTCAACGTCGTAAACGTGCCTAGCAATTTTAAGGACTTCTATCAATTTATTCTGGCTAAGATCGTGTAGGCTGATGTATAAATAGGGTAGTTTTGTACTAATCTCTGAGAAGAGTATCTCTATAGCTGTTTGTCACAGTACAAACACAAAATCCATAGGTTTACATATTGACTGTTTTTTCCAGTTAACAGCTCCCCATTCTGTTCCTCCTCCATATGGGAATCATGTTTCCACATTTTTCCCTCAAGGCCAAGTCCCTGTAATCTATCCTGTCTATAAGAGCTTGGGGAAGACATGGCCTTCAGTGTATTTCTGCAACAGAACCATTGGCCTGTCACAGATAGTGTTGGGTTCTTCATGTCTGGCACAGAAACAGCTTTGTGTTTCTAAAACATACACAAATTTTTCAGTTTTGCATTAATTAAATAAAACTCCAATTTGAACAAAGCACCACGATCTCTCCACTTCATGAAATTAAGAATTCTGCCTACAAAAACAGCCTTTCTCAATCTGACCACTAATCACAAAGCAATTCATTATTCAGATGAACTAAAATTAGCACTCAAAGAGACATTCAAAAAGGTAGATGGGCTCAAAACTCCTTTTACTCATTAGCAAACCTTTAACAAGCTTTAAGGAAAAAGGATCACAGCAGCACTGACCTAGGTTTTCGTGCTGTGGAAACTGACTGGCACAACCATAGCTGACAAGGTGAGTGAATCCCAGATATACAAACTTCACATTTTAAGATGAGCAGGAAGATTTGTAGTCCTTAACATCACTTGGAGAAAACTGTTTTACAGAAACAGAGAAAACCGTAGATTACAGTCTTGGATCTTCTGAACAGCAATAGCTGCTGGTTAGAAAAATAATTCAAAATCCCAGTCGGAAATGATGTTGATGTGTTATGGGAAAAAATGCCTCCACACTTAATCAAGCAGACGAAAAACGGGCTAAAGTAGGTTTAACTCTCTGACCACAAAGCAAGGGAAAAATATCTCTGCGTTTAACACTGTCTATCTTCATTTTAGTACGCCTTCACAGATGCAGACGGAAACCAGACACAGCTCTTCAACTGTTCATGGGGGGATCCACTAGATTTGTCCGCTTGTTGAGGTAGGACTTTGCTTTGCTGTGGCTGGAAAAAGGCTGCTCCCTAATATTAAAGCACTGATAACAGCACTGCTGTTGGATTTCATGTTTTAGCTGGAGAAGGCATCGCCATGGTCAGTAAAAAGCATTTTAATTTGCAGTGGGTCCTGTGAAAGAGTTCATTATGTGTAAAGTGTTGATTGCGAAAGCATTAAGATTTATCATGATATGCATCTATGAAGACGTGGGGTGTTTGTTCGATCTCATGGTTCAGGAGAGCCATCTAACATTTAGTGTTCCAGACTGGCTCTTAGTTCTATTACATTTGTATTGAAACAATTCAATATATTAATGGGGATTAAACTGTCTTTTTTTCCTGATCTTTGGCCAAATTTCAGGTTCTGTATTGCAAGGACTAGAAGTACCACCAGTAGAGCACAGAACTGTATTGAGTGGATTCAGGTGAATGTCATGTGGATTCAGGTCCCCTTCTTCAGTGACACTCATTCAGAATTCGCTGCAAATGGACAAACTCACTAACTGGATCAGCAGGGAAACACGAGGACAGGACCACCTTTTTGCAAAGGCAAGGTTTCATATTTTATCTTAAATGGCCCAGGTTTACTGAGGATGTTGGTCTTTTTTGCACCATATGTACACGATATCCTCATGGCCTTAGCACACACCAAGCTTTGTCACTCTTTAATGTTTTCACAACTGTTACACTTTTTCCTGCTTTTACACCACGTACAACCTTAATTTATAGGAGATTGTGGAACCATCAGGAGTGAGAGAAATTGCACAAACAACTGAGCTCTTGGCAAGAGCCGAGTGCTTTTTGGCACAAGGAGGTATACAATGTCCCCGTAAAAACCAAAGAGGAAACATTCTGTAAAAACAGCTGTAAAGTGAATCACTATCTGATTTGTTTTGGATGAAGCATGAAGGTTAGCCTTTGTTGATGAAGATACCTAAGCCAAGTATTTCTAAACAATTGTGCCGAAGAGACCTTAAACTGAGCGTCCCTGCTATAAGGTGAAATCTAGTTTAAACACTAAAGCACATTAGCACACTTAAATTTTCCATTTGAAATCATTTCCTTTTTTTATCACTTTTCTTTTGGACTCAGAGAGACGTAGTGTGTTTTTAGAGGGCAAACTAAAATCATTGTTTACGACCAAGAGTCATCTTAAGTCAAAGTAAAATTCATGATTTATACATGACCTAATACTTAACTTTATTTTGCTGGGGTTTTCTTCCACAGGCCTGAATCTAGTTTGGACGGCCCTTTCCAAGCTCTAACATGCAGGGAAACTCTACGGTGTCTCCTAGCAGTGGATACTGCACAGTGAATGACCAGATGGTGCCATTCACCTACCTGTACTACCTCATCTTCCTGATAGGAATCCTCGGCAGCTCTGTGGCCCTGTGGGCATTCACCCGCAACTGCAAGAACAAGAAGTGCATCAATGTCTATCTCATCAACTTGCTGACATCGGATTTCTTGCTAACTCTCGCCCTGCCCTTTAAGATTGCCGTCGACCTGGGCATCGCCCCGTGGAGCCTGAAGATCTTCCACTGCCAGGTCTCCGCCGTCCTCATCTATGTCAACGTGTACGCGTCCATCCTGTTCCTGGCCTTTGTGAGCGCCGACCGCTACCTTCAGATCTCGCAGGCTTCCACACTCTTCCGGATCCAGCAGGTGGGCTTCGCGAAGGTGATGTCAGCGGTGGTGTGGGGGCTGGTCCTGTTCATCATGGTCCCCAACATGGCCATCCCCATCAGGAGCGTCAAGGAGAAGCCGCTGGTCACTTGCGCCGAGTTCAAGCAGGAGGTGGGGCTCCACTGGCACACCTTGACCAACTTCCTGTGCCTGGCGATCTTCGTCAACGCCTCGGCCGTCATCCTCATCTCCAACGGGTGCATCCTGAGGAGGCTGTGCCAGGCCCAGGAGGAGGGCAAGCACAGCACCGTCAAGCAGGCCCTCTTCAACATCGAGATGGTCACCGCGGCCTACATCGTCTGCTTCGTGCCCTACCACGTGGTGCGCACCCCGTACACGTTCGTGCAGAACCAAGTCATCACCGACTGCTCCCTGCGGCGCCGCCTGTTCATCGCCAAGGAATCCACCTTGTTCCTGTCAGTGCTCAACCTCTGCTTCGACCCCATCCTCTACTTCTACCTCTCCCGCTCCTTCAGAGAGAAGATAACCGAAGCCTTCAAGCCGCAGAAGAGGGCTCCGGTCAACGATGCCCCCGGGACTGCACTGTAAATTGGAAGGAACACTGGCGAGTTATCTAGAAAGAACTTACAAAATTACAGTCGTTTTAAAAAGAGATAAATATTAGATAGACGAAAGATGTATATATATGTGTGTATGTTTTGACGGCCACAGCCCGCAAAGTCTCGATTTGTTTTTTATTTGTTTTTGTTTTTCGATTTGGAAGAGCAGTGGTAACAGAGCAGGTGAAAGAGCAAAATTCCGCCAATTTCAGGGAACAAAATTGAAAACAAAACTGATAAAGGGGAAAAATCTTTTGGATACCCTTTTAAAATTGTTGGTTTATTATAGCAATCATTTTTTTTTTTCTGAGAAAAGAAAGGCCAGTGCCAAGGTGCTGAGAATGTTACTGTATATAATGTTGCAAGAAACAGATTTGGTTTTTTACAGGTTACAGGTTACAGTTTTTTTTTTTCAAATACCTGGACACTGAAAGGGTTCGGAAATGCCACGCTTGCTACATGACATCGTGTCTTTGTGTGCCAAGGAGTCCTGGTTCTCTGAGCCAAGTTCTCTGACCAAGCTGCTGAGGATCACATTCTGAGATTCTTTGAGAAATGGATTAAATGAGATTGTAGGATGAATCAGTTACTAGCAAGTCAAGGAACCTTCTTATGTTATTAAAAGAGAATAAAGACAGCAAAAATGTATGAGCTACACTGGACTAACTAAACAGCTTTTTTTCCAAAATACTTGAACTTTACAACTGCATAAACCACCATGTTATGGCAGCAGTGAAAACATCACATCTTGCATTCTGCTTATGGGAACACACCCCTGTCTTTCTGGGAATGTGACAAGCATCGCGTTTCCTATTCTGTGGGTGAATTGTGGCTGATGTCTCATGAGAAGACTTCACACATGAGAAATACCCACTTGACAACGTAGTGATCGAGGCCTGATAAAGGTCTGACCACCACCACTGGACAAAACAACACCAGCAATTCTCATGAAGTGTGCTGTGTGACATCAATCCCATCTCCTTAACATTCATGCAAACAACAATATGACATTTTCCCAGGTGTCCCAAGAAGTCATCATTTCCAGTGAGTTCATCTCTGTTTTATGGCCTTTCAAAGACTGTAAAACCTGACTGTCTAATCATGTAAGAGTGTCACCACTCCAGAATGAAAATGGCAGAAGCTGGAGAGGGAAAAAAAAAAACGCACAGTGAAAGTAACAGTTCATTATAATCTGCAAACCATATAATTTCAAAATTATGTTTTACTGTGCTCATTTTAAAATTAAGATTAAAAATTGATTACCACCATAATACAATGTATGTGTTGATAGTTCTGAATTGCATAATACTATTATTGTGGGCTAAAGGGGGACAATATGTTCATTCTGTTCTTTTGTAATTGGTCACCACTGCATGTATTCAGTCAGAGCATTGATACAGTACCCATTCCAGTTTAGAGTACAAAGAACTCAGTACTTTGTGTACTAAGTCTGCTATATATTATAACCACATTTAAACTTGTGGAAACATCAACATAAGTAATTTGATACTACTTTTTCAAATAAGTAGTTTGAAAAAGTCATTAATTGGCTTTTTAAAAAACATCAACAGGTTATATTTTCTACTATAAATTTGGTAGCTGTTTATTTTAAGGGGTGGAAATTCCACTTTGTAACTGCATGAAAAACAGCTGTTGGCACTGAGGTCACCGTTAAGAAAGGTAATTATAAATGAAAAATATCTGACTTCAGTTAATCCTGAGGAAGAATTGTTCCTGGCACTGAATTATGAGACAGAAGGGCTTTTTGCATGAATCTGCACCCCCCAGAGTAAAGTGCTTCCATGATGTTTTATTTCAGCCACTCTTATTTCAAACTACTTTAAAAAAATGTGATTAGAGTATTTCCACATGCAGATAACTAACTGTTTTGGAGAATCCTTGCACTCTCTTTTAGTTTTATGTGGTCAACCCTGAAGACACAACCGTACATACCTTACGTGCATGCCCTAAAGAAGCAAGCTTTTACAGAGCGCTGCTGACCACAGGCGTACAAACCATAGGTGATACATGCCGAAGCAGAGTCAGGGGACGGAATAATTCGTCTGTAGGCTGACTGTGATCGGTCCCTGAACTTTGAATGCATGACTTCCTAGTAAAGCACTGTAGAGGCTACAGGCTCTCACGGCATAAAGCACAATAGAGGCATCTAACTATAGCCTAGTGTCCCATTCTTCTTAACTGACTGAATGTATTGTTATGATTCAATGGAACTAAGAAGAAGCTTGATGTATTTGTCTTAAAACTGCAACTGTTAAAAATACTACAGACTGTACCTTAACCTTGGTCAAACTGTACGTCTTGTACCAGCTCAAATTGAGGTACAGCTTGAAAAAAAATATATTTTAGAATTGTGAGTCTATATTGCATACTTTCATATTATTGGCACGGAGAAAAAAAAAGGTACACACAGGAAGTCTCACAGACTTTTATACCTACTATCAGCTGGGAAAAACGCACATTCGCTGTATGTCTGAATAGTCCACAGCTGGTAGAGAGTTCCAGGCTTCTATTGCAATGGCGAATCTGTCTGAGCATTAACAGCAAGTAAGACTTCTGTGACTCTAAAAACCTCTTCTCGCGACGTCTAGTAGGCTAATTCACCCAGCATGGCTGTTTCACAGAGGTCTTCAGTTCTGACACACAATCCCACCTCTGACGAGCACAAGAAGGTGAGAACTCACAAACACAAACTGAGTGCTTTATTTTCCTCCAAAATAAAAAAAACAAGTTTTAAAAACAAATTTAAACAGCTTTGCCCACTACAGACGAACCAGGCGCTTTGTATCAATGGGATGCCCAGTGTTTTTATATTTCTTTTGCTGGTCAAGTTTACGAAGTATATTGTGAAGGTGAAAGCACCACACAGTATAGGCATCATACCAGTGACATTTAGTGCTTTTTCTAAAATTAAACTTTTTTTCTGCTTTTGAATATTATAGTAAATGGTCACAAAAGTTATGTTGTTTGACTTACAGTCAGTTCTATGTTAAATGAAAAATAGATCATTTGAAATGTGTGTCGAAAGGAAGTGTTTAGAAAGAATCCAAAAATATCTTGATTGAAACTGAGGGCTAGCCTTCCTTCCTCACTTCGCATATTTTCAGACCACAGTAGCACAGCCTCTGTGCTTCATGTACTACTGTAGTACGTTTTTTGCCCAGTATGTGTGAACACAGCTCTGGCACCACTCTGGCTGCAGGGCTACAGATTAGAAATATAATCTTTCGTGCAAGGTGCCAAACACAGTGGCCACTTCTAGACCATAATACAGAACATAATAAAAAGACAACAAACTAAATTGTTTTCTACTGATGCTTTCTTGCTTTTCTTCTACTGCAGACCCCTCTGGTTTCAAATGAACTAATCTTGTAGATCCTCTTATCTCTGTTTCTAAAACACCCAGGAAACAAAGCTATCGAAATCACTTAGATATCTAAATCAGATCATCTAATGAACTCTGCATTTTTAATTATTCAGTGCACTGCAATAGCTGTGCTACCACATTCTAGGATGAACGTATGTGCAATAAACTCAGAAGAGGCATCAAAGAGTTATCAAACATTAGAAGGAAATAAGGCCACATACAGTAGGTAGTTAAGATTTTAGTAATCAAATCGAACAAATACAAGGTCACAGTAGTAAATTGGCACTGTTACATGCACTTGTTTAAAGAACAATATAATAATTGTGCATTTTGTTTTCTGGATCACAATGGCTTGGCTTGGACAAAGATAAGATTTTCACCACTCACATTGAAAGACAAGGTGAAGCAGGAAGCAGGCTACAGAATTTCCGAAAGGTCCTCTTCTTTTAAAACAGGCTTTATTTCTGAAGAAGAATGAGGTTAGCAGGCTGTCAGTACACAGTTAGTCACAGCACAGACTGAGCAGGACAATCTCCATTTATCTCTGGATCTCTCTTCCACAAGCCTGGCTGCACTCCTATCCCAGAATTCCCCACTCACAGGCAAAAAATCGCTCACACTGCACACTAGTGCTTCATCACGGCACTCTGAGGCAGATTCTGTGTTCCCTGTACAACCACAGTGCGAAACACTTCATGTTGCTTGAAAGTAAATTTCCTTTAATAACGGAAAGCAGTTGATTATTTATCTAAAAAATAATAAAATAGAGGGCTGCAAAGATGTTTAGGCACAGTGGTATTGGTTACCTGTTGTTTCCCTAAACTAAAAATACGCTGTGAAATGGTCACATGGCAGTGACAGAATTTCTGAGGTATGTGGGCAGCATGGAAACTGCTTGTAAGACTGTCGTGTTGACTTGAAATGTACAAGACAAACAGTTCAGGTCTCTGAAGTGAATCAGACGACAAATCTGAGTCTTCTGAGTTGTCTACAGGATATACTGTCTAATAAACGAACCCAGGTGTAAGAGAGAAAAGACATTGCAGGTCTGCTCTGAGCCCCATTTCTCTAGTGGGAAAGTGACACTTGACAAAGCTAATCTGCAGAAAAAGTAAGAAGAGGAATGTGCTCTCTTGACTAAGTCTGCATCCAGTTGTGAACAACTTTCTTAAATAAAAAACAAACATTTATGTGAAAGATGTTCAAAAGAGGAAAAGCCATGTTTCAGTTCATCATCATTTCACTTCTAACCACTTTTTTTATCATTCAGCGCAGTGTTGAACAATATCTCTTATCTAACACTTCTGTTCAGTACCGACAACTCAGTGGAAGGAATGCGTGAACTTCACTCCCATCTTCGTTTGAGAGCAAAGTTTTATCATCCCCGACACATCAATAAATTCGAAGTTCCTTCTTGAGTACCGGGTTCTTAACCGCAAGCGTTACCACAAGAAAGTCACAGATGTGTAACACTTTCATGTGTAGGTATCAGGTCCTTCAGCTCTGAGCACAGACCACACACTTTTGAAAAACACATTCAGCTCCGTCACATGAAACTGTGTACGCCCCTTCCCTTTAACACACAGTGGAATTTTCCCAAAGTAAAATATACAGCAACCTGTGGTATTAAATACTAACCTTCTGAGCAACTGTCTACATCAGGCCCTGAGTGGTGCCCTAAGCCAGCCTACCAGATACTGTCGTGTTTGTGCCTTTTCCATTTTGTGCTGGGTGCTATGTACCCACTTGTACAGCAGTCCTTCAAATCCATGCTGCTCATATCCAAGCACAGAAGGACTTTTAAAACAAAGACACATCCGTGGGAAATCAATCAACCAGGGAACATACAGTAAATGACTGCGACCGTCCTGACAGTTTCCAGCTGCATACGAAACTAAAACCCTCCCTCTCACAAGATTCAGAGAAGCTGCTGCTGATCGCAATCACTTATTAAACAGAAATACAAAAGAAAAGATGAATAACATTGACAATCAAATGATCACAGAGTTTCTTCTTGGAAATGGGAGGAGGTCTGCTGCAGTATCTGTGGATGTGAATGTTGACAGTATTTTCCCATCCACATGCCTTTCACTGTTCTGTCGGGCTGCCAGTAAACTCCACAGCCCATCACGGTCTGAATCACAACTGAGCCTCGTCTGGGAATTAAACCACTAGGTAAACCCGGCACCTCCTACTCATTCCTGCCTCCTCCCCCTCAAAGCAAATCACAGGCACTTCCGATGAACCCACTCCTTAAGAAGGATAAAAATAAAATCTCACCCCTGCCGTGATAAATGCCTAAAATGTTTCAGCATTTTTCCCTAGAATTGGGCTGTAATGTTTAGTCTGGGAGGGACACTGGTCCTGAGAAAATGTGCAAATGTCACAGATCATAAACAACAGATCACACAGTGCTGCAGCTGGAAGGATTAGGCGAGATTTCCCTTTCACATCCACATAAATGTCATTGTCCGATGGTCTATCGGGATGCAGTAAGTTACTGACAGACTGCAGCTGTGTTTCTGGCCAAGAAACGGGTAGTCAAAAAAGTGCTTATGCACTGCCTGAACAATAGCACCTAAATCATTTATTTTTTATTCATTGGCAAAAGAAAAACTCATTATACTGTTATGCATAAGCTCTAAAGGCATGACTAGCTCTTATATGGTTAGAATTGCTAGGACCTTTTAAGAGTTTATATATTTTTTTAAAGCAATTGCTGGTAAGAGCTGTACCATTTCAGAAACAGCTGAAGAGGAAACAAATAATCAATTTAATGGATATCACGAAGTGTTAAATGAGCTTAAAATTACAGCTGACCTCTTACATACTGTAGTTACGGTCACAATCGTAAGCCCCTCCTCTTAAGGGTGCTCCGGCTCTTTCTTGCGCGTCTTGATTTTTGCATCTGTCTCCTGTTCCAGCCTCTCCCTACAAAAGCCTGACGCTCCCACCATTCCAGGCTCAGCTTTGGAAGATGGACACCCGGAAGCCCGCCTACCAGCGAGTCCAGGAGAGACCCGACGGCACAGGCTTCATCACGGCGTCCTGACCGTCTGGGTCCGGGCTGGAGCGCCTGGCCCCGTTACCCTTTTTATTCCCCCGACCCTTCGCCGGACCCTGCTCCGGCTTTTAACTCCTGTCATGTCTCTGTCTTGGATGGATCACCCGGCTGTGGACTCTTGCCTATTCCGGATTACCCTACGGACTCCCTTCGGACTTGTTTGCCTTGGTCACGCCCCCCCGAGCACCAGCCCAGCCGCGATCCCAGTCTGCTTTCCCCGTGTTTGTCTCTCTCCCCTCCGGATTATGCCGTCTGCAGACGGTCCTGAAAAACGCTTCGTGACAGTTACCTTGCTTCCTGCTGTTCTGAAGAACCGATTCAAAATCTGTAGGAATTACAATTTTCTTTAATGACTTTAATGAACTGTGATGGACTGGCGTCCCATCCAGGGTGTATCCTGCCACAGGTCCGCGGTTTGCCAGGACAGACTCCAGCTCCCCTGTGACCCTGTATCGGATAAAGCACTTAGAAAATGGCTGGAAGGCCTGTAATGAATCTGACTCCTCCTTAGCAAAACAAGTGATCAACAACAGCGGCAAGAACATCTAATCTAAAATAACATAACAAACACTTATGAGTTTCTTTAAGACTGCAGAGAGATAATTGGGTAAAGGCACTGAAATCTAATAAGAGCGCATGGCTTGAATCAGAGGTCTCTCACCCTGGTCCTGCAGGGCTCCTGTCCAGTCAGTCTGTACGTCACCCTGAATCTCCTGTTCAGGTGCACTTCTCAGTTGTCGCTCAGTTATGTTTTGAGCAAGCAAGCAATTTCAATTGTAGGAGCTCTGGTTCTTTGGGTCTAAAAGTTGCTTTGATTTTTGCCCCAAAGTGAACTCTAACCGACTGAATTGAACTGTTTAAATGGGTCACAGTGACATTATTCCAGGTCTTTAGAAAAAGATGGGATCTTTAACACCTGTGTTCGATAGGGACTCCCCAGAGCCAGGGCTGGAGATCTTTGACATAAGGTTAAGGGTGTCTGGCTATAGCAGGGTCCCCAGTCCTGGTCCTGGGATCCCACACACATGCTGGGTTCTCCTGCAGCTGAGCTCTTTACCGACTTGAATCCTCAACTGGACTAACAAATCACCGAGTTCGAACCTTGGAAATCTGATAATTAAAAGACAACCTCCTACGTGTGTAGGAACTCAAAACAATTGATATATAGGGATAAATATAAGTGATGAATAGCCAGCAACCATATCACCCTGCAGCTGACAGCTAGCAGCCTGGTGTGAGCCTGGTCAGTACCTGCATGGGAGACCTCTAAGGTTGCTGCTGGAAGATGTGTTAGTGGGGCCAGTAGGGGGTGCTCACCCTGTGGTCTGTGTGGGTTTTAATGTCCCATTATAGATCACTATCTCTGAACTGGCTTCATCACTCTTTTCTCCTCCCCACTGAGAGCTGGTGTGTGGGGAGCAGACAAGTGCATCATCCAGGTGGGCTGCACACTGGTGGTGATAGAGGGGATCCCCATTAACTGTAAAGAGTGTTGATTGGAGTGTCCAGAAAAGTGCTATATAAGTGTGATGAATTATTATTATTATTATTATTATTATTATTATTATTATTATTATTAATTGAAGAGTGCAAAATAAACCTATTATTAGGTCTGTAAATGGTTTGGTTATTTCACTGAGTGCTCAAGTTGAACAAACCCCAACAGACTGGAAACTTCCAATCTGTAGAGATGTGTTGCCTTATCTTTAGGACAACCAACAGATACAACCAGAAGAGTGCACTCCCTTCCAACAAAAAAATGACTTACTATCTTTCAGATGCCTTTGTTTCCATAAACACGGGAGGGAAAGTTCCCCAAGTCAGATCACAAGGACAGAATCCTGGTCTCCTTTTCCACTCGTCTTAAATATCCCTTTTCCTCCTTTTATTTTCTAAAGAGATGTAATATACAAAGACAAATTTAAGACAAAACAGTACTGTATTCTTCGAGATACATTTACATTGAACCAAATGTCAGTAAATTAAAAAAACAGCAAAAAAATCATTTTATTTAAACTGCAATTCAACTGAAAAGAATCAGATGCTTCTACAACCCCTCTTGCTAACCATCATGAAATAAATGGATTGAGCACGTAATATTCAATTTGTTCTCTTTTGCTTAACAACGCCAATTCTCTTCAAATAAAAGTTGTATGATTCTCTCAAACAATAATTGATTCATGCTTCCTGTTCTCCCTAATTGCAATCAGAAATGACTCCAGATAATTAATCTTAATGAGGCACAGCTGAACAGCCCGTTCTAATTAAACCTTAAGCAATGATCCTGAAGCAAGATTGGACAGAAGGACTCTATCTCTCCATTAAAACAGCAGGGAATTTACTTACTGGGTGGTAAATACCTGTTTAAATCATTGCCGAATGCATCTTTTTTTTCTAACTTACAGTGGGTTGTATTGTTTGTATCAAACAGTCGTAGCTGGAATTTGAGTGTCTCGGATAAAAATGTGCTTTCCACATCTTCGGTGCTGAAATCCAGAAAACCCTAGCTCCCTTATCAACACCACACCTGCATTTCTGAGTTTCGCATGATCAAGATTTGAAAAATGTTATTGTTTTCGAGGAAGTTTACAATGCACAAACCTGTGAAGTCTGAGCGTAGTTTCCCTGGAGGGTTTGTACAGTACGTTCGGGTGATTGCTGTTGCGTAGAAAGTATTCCTGCAGTTGGGATTTTTTTTCATACAGTAGGTTTGCAAATCCTGAAGAAGCATGATCTTAAACCCATCACCAGCGGAGATGCCCAATCAGGGAGAAGGTCAGGGACAGGATGGTCTTGTCGGATTTCCCTGGGGAGCACTGTACACGCACCCCGAAATGTAAACCTTGTAGTTACCTAGAGACGGGAGCTGGGCAAGAGAGACCTGTAACTCAATGCGCTCGGTACGACTGAAGACCGAGCGAACCCAGAGCTGTGCTGTGCGTTTCGAAGCCTCCTCTTTGTACAAAAAATAACGACATGATGCAGGACGTTGTTTTAGCAAAAGGAGCCCGACGTGGCGAAATGCTTGAACCCAGAGCTTGCCACTGAGAAACTTCTATCTTTGATTGTAGAATAATAATTAAAAAATGCCGAGTCGCCAAAAGAAAGTGATATTCTTTTTGGCTGGTCTCCTGAGCTTCGCCGCGGTCTTAATGGTGGCAGCGTCGGTGGGAACTCAGTTTTGGATCAAGGGGACAATTCTGTGTAAGACAGGTGCTCAGCTCGTTAACGCCACGGGCCCCGAACTGGAGAAATTCATCGGCAGAATCAACTACGGTCTTTTTCACGGGCAGAGACTCAAGCAATGCGGTCTTGGTGGGCGACCTTTCCGTTTCTCGTGTAAGTAACCGCGGCGATTGTATAGCGGGTAAGAAACAGATGTATCCGAAGTTTACCGTTCGTGAGGCAGTGTTGTTACTTGTGTACTTGATCATTAATGCCCAGTACAACGTAAGGCAATGTAGCCAAGACTATCAATTATTCAAATACCAAAGTCAAGTTAATTATTTAAGACGCAGATATGAATATCACCTTCCCACAGAAACTTTCACAAGCCGTATACAATATTAGAGGATGGTTAAAACAATATGTTATCCGACTGACAAAGGAACAATATATGTGAATGCTCATAGATTATATTTTCTTTCGCCAGAATTGCATTATGCAGCTGGCTTTATATATAGTTTATTAAGAGTGGCTCAAACCGTTAGCTGATATTGCTTCAGCCGTAGGCCAGATGTGATATCCCCTTGGTATATTAGTCTCTGGGGAACCGTAAAAGCAATTGCTATGAAGTATGGAAGCCTGCAATACATAAGATATATTGAGCTATTTGATTAATGAGGGGGGACAGGCAGATCTTCCTCAGGGTTTCAGTCCTGTTTCAGACGCCTCTCAACGATTTTCACGGACACGAAAATGTTCATAGCTTGATCGTACGAGGCTGTCCTAAGCGTTTCTCTGCCCTAACTAGGGATCTCCAGCACGGGTCCTGCAGGGCCGGTGTGTCTGTGGCAGAGACGTGCAGAGAGGCCCTGTGGTGGGCAGTAGCTCAAAAGGGCAGAAGGGCCACTTTCCGGGTCAGGATTTGTTACAGTAGAGTATCCTGGACACAAATCGGTGCCTGCTTGTGTTTCTGTGTTTTTTAATTTTACAGGACGTTTGGATGTGACTTCAGAGGCATTATAATATTCACAACCTTCTCAAAAAATGGTTGTCCATAATTTAAGTTTAATTACCAGACAAGATATTACACCCCCTCTAACGAGCATGTACTTTATTTCCCTGATGTAACACATCTTAACAAGAGGACAGAGCAAATAAAAGAATTACCGTCTAATTGCATGCAAAACCAAAAGCAAGAGTTTACATGATAACACATCAAATCAAAGATTTTTTTCCCCAAAAAAGTGCCTATTGTGGGACAAAATTCAGGTAGCTGCTAGAAATTACAATTATTATTATTATTATTATTATTATTATTATTATAGTTCAGGTGGGGAGCTGCGTCAGCATGCGTAGGCTGCAAAGGAACAAGTAATACTGTAGGTTTATTCCCTGTTGAAAAGAGAAGAAAGAAAACGCAACGTTTTGTTCCTTATTATTATTATTATTATTATTATTATTATTATTATTATTATTATTATTATTATGTACTGGATATCTCTTGAAATTGCTCAATATACACTACTCAAAGTTTAAACATTATTTTATACATCTATTTTTATAACATATTAAGCTATAAATTGAATTCCAGGAGAAGTATTTATTGGTCGTGTCATAAAAAAACTTGGCAGACCTGTTCGCCTGCCGCTAGTTGTGACCCAGTTATAAAGCGATGTTATCCCTTTAGCTGCCTCCCTAAATTCTTTCTTTTTCTTCTTTTTTCTGAAGGCAAGGTCTCCTGTTTCTGTGACTGAACCATACTGTATACACACCAAAGAATATGCATGTTAGCTGTTTATATCAAATACAAAAAGACTGGCTTGTGTACTCAGTTAACTACATTTAAATCTACATCTCAAATCTAGCTAATCTCATCGAATCTAGTGTTGAATTGAATATACCTTCACTTCTATCTTCCATCTAAAATATTGATTCCGGTGATATCTGCAGATCTACATCACATCCCCAAATGCAACTAAAGATTCAATGCTCTATATACTGCATCTTAAAAAGGATATTTGTGTGTAATTCGTTGTAGCCTTGGCCTCACTGGGCTGTTCAGTTAGGACAGCATTTCGTGCTGGTATCAGACTTGGCAGGATGTGAAAAAGAGCACCGAAACCATGCCCCCAAACATAATCACAGTGAGTCACCATCCTGTCCTGTTTCTGGTTAATTCTTCGTTAACAAGCTTTAGAACAAAGTTAGGGGTGAGGAGCCCTCAGTATTTACGGACTGATTGATTTCTCTTCCGCATGACTTAACGTGATGTCGTACAACAAAGATGTACTGTTTCAATTATGCAGGCAGGTTGCTAAATGACAGGGCTGGTTCCTGCAATCAGAGCTGCGCGTAACGAGTCCCTCGGATTAATTAATATTCCATGGAAGGCTGTGGAATGTGCTGAGAGAATGGGCAGTGGGAATGGAGGGTGACAGGACATGCCCGTTCTCTCTCAGAAACAACAGTCTATCAAGGTACTGTTTCCACTTCGTGGTACTTGAGTGGTCCTGAGGATATTTAGCTTTTCCGTACATTATAATTAGATGTTTTCACCTGTCAATGACATCAATGTAAATTAAATGCACTTTAAAAAAAAAAAAAGATGACGTCTTTTTAAAAAGTCTTCATTTGAGCCATGAGTGACGGGACAGCCTTTATGATCTCCCCGTGTGGGGTCAGAGACTGTCATTTCATTTCAACATAATGAGATACTGGATCTGCCAGCACTCCTTCCACAGGACAGGGTCCTGAGTTATTTTTTAAGACAACGGTGGTCCGCGAGATCCGCTGTCTAGCGGAGTTTGCAGGTGTGTGTAAGTCTCCAGTTTTTCTTAACAAGAAAAGGCTTCACCCTGCTCAAATAGGCAAACAATAAGCTCGATTAAGGGCTCAGGTGGAAGGAGAATGAGGACTCCGGGAGTGGAGTTGTGCACTGCTGTCTTCAGGTCATCCATGTCAGTATAGAGCAGTGATTCCCAATCACTGGACCCAAAGGATGCTATTTAGTTTTCTGTCTGGGGATTAATGGTAAATTTGCTTTCAGCTCTTGAAAGGGTCCAATGGGATTTGTAATTGTTACCAACCCTGGACCAGTGCCTGAGCTTCAGAAGTGCCCTCACTCAGGTGTGCTGCCTGAAAACCAACCCAACCTCTGCAGAAGGAAAAACCACTCAGGCTGACGGTAACTGATACAGCGTCATCCCCGCCTGTGTCAGTTCTTCCTCAGCTCATCAACTAGACACAGCTGTTTATGGCCGACATTACGGCAAACAAGCTTTGTATGTAAAACACGCTTTCGGGAAAAATGCTGGAGTTTATCAGTAGGTTGACCTGGAGTCAAATAAGCTTCGAAAGTGGTCTTGGAAGAGTTGCACAGCAGCTGCTTCTGCAGTAAGTCACTTGTGCTTTTGTCAAGAAATGCAATGTCACGCTCGTAAGCCCCTTCCTTGTTTTTTACTCATCTCCCACACCTGCTCCGTGTTCCAGCCCCCTTTTCAGTTCCCCTTAAAGGCCAGACGCCTACTCTGTTCCATGCTCTGCATTGGTTCCTGTACCAGGCGAGTCCGTGATCTGGAGCGCCTGGTCCCGTCAAGTTTTTAGTTCCTGTTCCTGTGCCGGTTCCGACCCGGTTCCTGTTTTTAATCCCGTTTGTCTTGGATGGACTGCCCGGCTTTGTACTTTTGCCTCATCATGGATTCCCCCCTGGACTCACTTCTGGACAGTTTGCCTCGGCCACACCTCCCCGAACACCAGCGCACCGTGGGCACGGCCCCTGTTTTCATTCCCGACTCCCGCATGCTTCTTCCCCCCGTGTTTTCCTCACTCATCCCCGGATTGTGTCGTCTGCATAGGGTCCTGAAAGAGCGCTTCCGTTACATGCAATGTCTTTTTCACTTGGCAGTTTTCCCCGAGCTCACAGGCGTCATCCCTACCAGCCTTCACGCGAGTGTGATTTTGTTTTGTGCCGCCATGATGGTGTTCTCCTCGGTGACATCGGGCTTCTTCATGTACAACGCCTTCGGCAGCCCCTATGAGACACTACACGGCCCTCTAGGGTTGTACCTTTGGAACTTTATTTCATGTAAGTATTTGTGAAACATTTCTGTTTTGACATGATATAGATATTCGATATTTCGCTTGGAAGATACCTACAGTATTCAACACATCGCCTGGGGTCATTCTTCCAGTGCTGGCTGCCTTAGGTGTAGAAGTGTGTTTGAAGAATGATCCATTAATATACTGCAATAGATCACACATGTGCTCACTAGTAATAGTCTAGAAGCAGCATCAGCCAAGCATATTTGTATTCCCTTTTCACTAAAACATCTTTAGTTGTTTGCCATGTCTTCCTTCGTATTGATTTTGGCCAAGGAAACCAACTGCTGCCACGCTGGAAGACGTGCAGGCTCTAGTTTTGCTGTATCGGTGTTCAGCACAGCTGGTTTAAAGACAGAACACTGTTTCAGCTTTTAAACAGTTAGCAAGACGCCAGGGGCAGTTTTGAAAGCCAGAGGATATGTTGTCCCCTGTAGGTTTCTGCGGCTGTCTGGTGATGATCCTCTTCGCCTCCGAAGTCAAACTCCACCGGCTGTCGGAGAAAATCGCTAACTACAGGGAAGGAAGTTTTGTGTACAGGACCTACAGCGAACAGTTTGACTGGTCCTTCTGGATCGTTTTGTTCTGCTTCTTAGCACATGCCTTGAACATTCTCCTTATCCGGGTGGCTGGGATCCAGTTTCCCTTTCAGGAGACGAAGGAGTCCGATGTGATCACAGGTGCGGTGGATCTCATGTACTGACAGCGCTTTTGTCTCACTGCAGTGCTCTGCAGGCTCAATTTCCCTGGTTGTTCATCATTGAAAGAGCAGTGCAAACAAAAGAAGTTTCTTTCCATGCCTTTTTTTTTTCCCCACAGTATTCTGGCTTTCAGGTGATAGCTATGCTATCAGGAATAATCAGGTTAAGATGTATCACTGCATTAGAAATGTAAGAAAATTGCTTAAAGCGCAGTGGATCTTGTTCTGCACTGTAGACGAACTGCCCACTGCACAGAGAGTCACCCCAAGGAGCATGCAGCCCACAGTGGAACTGGGGTTGTTGAGGAACCAAGTTTTGTGGTGCAAAAAGTTGAGCATTTCTTAGCAAACATTCTTTTTTATTTTGGTTAGTTCTCTGACGGTCTTTAAGCCACTGTCATTAGACGTATTGTGCTTTCCTGCAGTTGAAGGAGACACGACTCAAGGCTGAGGTCTGCATTGGGTTCCCCTTGAAAACAGGAATTGTGATTTCTCAGTTATTTTTGAAGAAGAAAGCTAAAAAAGAAAACAAGAAATGCATTTTTGTTTAGACAATGTTTACCTAGAAATTTTCAAGAAAAGAATCGGTTAGTATGAAATTCCTCTTCATCTCCTTGCTCCTTGAATGGAGAGGACAGAAGATTGTGAGTATTATGCGAGTAGATAGGATCTTCTGCACAATGTGCCAATGTTTGATTTGATTTATTGATTTTTTTTTAATCAGGCAACATTTGTATACGTTTTATAGAAAAAGCAAAGAGAATGAATGTAGATGGACAATTATGATTCCTTTTATAAACAGAAGTTCAATATGTTCAGGTAAAATCAAACTAGACATCATGTTGTTATGTAAAATAAAAATTGGTTTATGACTCACATTGTGTTTTAACAGTTAAAGAAAGGTTCTGGGAATGTCTTTATACATTGTATGGTCCCCAGTTGAATATTGTACAAAATAAATGTTTTGTGTAACAGAGATGTTTGTATGTGTGTCTGATGAAAACGATGTTTTAACATTCCCAGTAGTGCACTTACTTTTATTTGATATTCGGGACACTTCAAAATAAACTGTGTAGTAATAAAATACTGATTACACCTCCAAGTTACTCCTGATTACTTCTGCAAAAGTATGTATACTCTTCTATTTAATTTGAATCTGTAGCATATTGCTTTGTAAAAATCTTAATTTTGTGTTTAAATATCTTTTATGATGATTTTTTGATCATCATCACTCAGGCTTGACAAAATAGTTTATTTCCACTTTGGGACTTTGATATGCATGTATCAGTTCACATGAAACTCTGTGTAACGTCTGCACTTATGCTGGGGAGTTGAACTCGGTAAAATACAGCACACTTCAGTACTGGGTTTCTTTTAATTCAGGGCTAATGTAATGGCATGCAGGGGGCAGTGTTTATACACAGCTCAGGTTGTTTTCACGAAGGCACTGAAAGGTTCACTAAAATGTTTTTAGTGCAGATTTTCATAACAAGTGTCTTAACCAATTGCTTAACCTTCAAGTAATTAACAGTTCAGACATGCTTTTAAAAATATTACATATTTAGTAAATATCAATCTCATTTCAAGCTTGGGTTCCTTATATACAGTATGTATGTGCATGCATTCAGTGGAATTTTTAGTTTTATAAGTAAACTATACCAAAACATATTCCTAAAATAAAACTTTATAGTACTGAACAAACAGGGCAAAGTTCCTTCTATGTTAAGACTGTCAAACAAATCCCACTAACACAACTACACTGAGTTTTTCTTTAAATGTTACACCTCCAGTCCACACGATGATATCGACTCAAATCAGAGTTTATTTATCCAAGGCACAACAATACAGCGTGCCGCAGTAGTTGCTGGCAATGAAATGTCTTTTCTACGAGCTCACTGGAGGGGGCTAAAAATCACAAAATTAAAGTAACAAAATAAGGTCACATAATAATACATAATAGTACAATAGAAGTTGAATAAAATAAACTCAGACAGAGCTCAATATAAACAGAGCTGCGATGTATCCAGGGTGTATGCAATACATTATGTCCAAGTAGTGCAGTATGCTGAATACAATGAAAACAGTGTGTCCATGTAGCCATTACAGGTGATTTGCTAAAGGAGCCGCAGCTTGGCTATTTAGCAGTCTTATTGCCTTATATAACGTCCATTGTAATTCAATAGTAGGCAGCTCTGCCGATCCAGAGACCTAGATACACACTGTTGCTCTAAGCAAATGCCCTGCCCCTTCCAATGAGAGTAAAAACCAAGGCTCTTACCCAGGCGGCTCTCAGACGCTGGAGCAGCCCCGGTCTACATGATCTGCTGGGTCAGATTAATGGTCCGTCACGCCAGGCTGCCTTTAATTTCATGCAGAGCACTGATTTCATCTTTCTAGATGCTACGTCCCGAAGTATAAGCGCTGACTTCCAGTGCTGAGCGGTAAGTATTGTTGACCTCTGTACATAGGGAGTGATTTGGAGGTGCAGGCACTGGAATAGTTTGTTTTACTTAATTAGGAACCTTTAGGTAAAACAGCACCACATGAGAGTCTCAAATAGATGTGCAGTGTAGAGTTATATTCAGTGTATATGTGCAGTGTAGAGTTATATTCCACAAGTCTACAAGTAGGGAAGGCATTGATCTTTTAAGCCTTTTTTGCTTTAATCACAAGTTCCGAATAAATGGCCTCTTTAAATGAAACAGACCATTATTTGCATATATCTCTTGTGTGAGTACTCAGTCTCAATTGAAATGATAGCTGAGCAAAGACATTTTGAGCAGTGAATAGGTTGAATACAGGAAACCATTAAGTCAGATGAGGAAAGAAACAGAGGATGTAACACATACTGTCGAAATAGCCCCTTTGTCTTGTGGTATAAAATGCAAAAGAGGTCCGATTTCTAAATACCTGTTAAACATGGCACTTCGGATATTTACACCTGACGTTTGATCGCTATGTCATGGCAAATTCCTGGTGTATTTTGTCTCTCAAGGCAAATGCAGTAAGCTGTAATTTGTCTCTTTACATATTGTTAAAAAATAAAAAGTTTTCTCATACCCTCTTAATGCGAGATGAAGCACTGCAAGACCAACAGGATAAGAATTCCTACAGGTGTCCAGAGTGTGAGGATGGCAGAGATAACATTCTTATTCAATAAACTACCTGTAGTTACCAGATAGCACACAGTGAGAGGCTTGTAAGACACATATTCGGTTTCACTACTGAGATTCTGTTTCCAATTTTGAATTTGTGAGATTTGCCATGATGACTTTCTTTACTTACTTTCGAAGAGAGAGACAGATTAGCTTTCCTAGTCTGCTGGTCTTATTAGAGGGACTCTGGGGCTTCGCTGATCGTCAATGGCGAATGGCTACCACGCACTGCTAGTGTCAAACCTGAGCGAAGATTTGGAGCTCCTCAGGAAGGGTAATATGGTTTAGACATTTTATGTTCACTTTTAAGACTTTCTGAATGCACAGAACAAGTAAAAAAATATGTTACTGCTACTTCTGGTGTTATTTCCTTCTTGCTGATGTTGGTGCTGCTGCTCCTACTGCTGTTAATATTTGTTCAGTTAGGTGCTTCCATAAATCTCATATTACAAAGGTGTGTGCAAAGAAATGCAACTCTTAAAACACATTGTACAGTGCATGCAAACAATATATCCTACAAATTTTTCAAGAATGTAAAATCTTACTTGGTTGCACTGCAATAACATATGAGTTTATTGTCATAATAAGTGCTAGCAATTGCATATTTCTTTTTGCCTCTGATTCACATTTCCTCTTATAGCACTCTGAAATTCCACTGTAATATTGCCTTTCTGCTCACATAAATACCTCAGACTTTAATATTTTGCAGAGCTTGTTAGTTGTCAATTTAATCCTGATTGATAAATACCATGCTTCTTTCTTATCTTGACATGAACCACCAGTAGGCACTTTCCAAACTGCTGCTCTGCATGAACTAACTGTAATCAGAATGCAGACTTAAACTCTGCATTCTGCGAAGACATGGAAGACATGGTACATGCTGCACTCTGTATACGAGCTTTTCATTTCACCTCATAAAAACTACAGATTTCTACAGTACTGCATGAAAGCCAAGAGTGTTGAAAGTCTACAAAACTACTACAAGATATTATATAAAGCATCACGTTACCAATGAAGAAAAGATGTGACTTAAATACCAGTCATATGCATAAAGTGAGATAATTTTACATAATGAAGTAACTACAAAGTAACCCTTAGTAACACCGTGCATGATATTTTTTTTGCACAAGACAGGACAGGCAGTGTCTTCATTTTTGTATCCAGTGATCCGCAGGTCGTGGTAGCAATTGCTAATTGCCTGGAGTTTTCAACAGCAACGCTTTTTGTGCCTTTCTGAGTGCCTGCAAGCATGTGTGTATGTGCACATGTTGGTGTGTGTGTTTGTGAAAGAACAGAGACACATGAAGTGACTCACACTCTAATGAAACATTAATCAGGACCTGATAGAGTAACTGAATGTGCAGAGCCTGCGTCTGTCACTCTGTGATTGATACTGCCACCGATCAATGGTGTTTCTCGGTAAGCCGCAACAGCCAGAGTTGTTTCAAAGGCCGGTGGCTCAGACCCAGACGCAGGCAGTCGTGTAAATGTTAACTCTTGCAGCATTTAATCTGTGATGCTTACAGATGGAAGAGAGCAGTGACTGCAGTCAGCATGGCTGTGACAGCCAGGAGTTTGAAGAGATTGCAAGCAGGATATCTGACCTGGACAAATGGAGGGAAATCTTCAGCTCTCGTGGGTAAGAAAAGCTTTGTGCACAATGGTGACAGGCAGGCAGACAGAAATGCAGACAGCCAAACAGAGATTTGCTAATTTTATGTTACAAGTGGGAAAAAGGCAATATTTGTTTCAATTATATTTTGCCTTTTAAAACTTGGCAAACACAAAAATCGCTGAAATTTACCATCTTGTCTTTTGCAGGTTGGAATTAATTGATGGAGTTGCACAGGTAGGTTGCTTTAGTTTTTAATGTCTCTTCACTTCAGTGAAATGCTCACCTGAGTTTTGAATGAGAAAATACATTACTGGTTAACGAAGAGCAGGATTCACAAATGCGGAACGGCATGTTTCCCATTGTAGTGCTGCACCTTCCTTTCCTCTGTATACAAAGTCCAAGCACATGACTCAGTCCACAGCGCAGGAAGACTTCTCATAATTAACTGAGACGGTCAAGCTCCCCGTCGTTTAATTGAGGGGAAAATGTGACCTTTAACACGTTCATGTACAACGACTTATAGGAACTCTATTACAACGAAAAATTAAAGAGACGTGTACGGAAATTAAAACAACTCACTCACACTTCATGAACTTTCTACAGCAAACAGACTGTTTTTTTAATTCATTTACATTACATATATCTACAATTTCGAAATTTCCATATCTAAAATTTCCAGCAGAATAAATGAGATGAAATGCAAGAATCCCAATGGCTCCTTTGATCAGCTAGAGATCCTTACTTCTCCCTAAAGCAGTCCTTGGGGATACCTCCTTGTTTTTTCCTGGTCTCATCACAACACTTGATCTTCCCTCAATGCCATTAAAGTCCGCTGTGTAGCATGATATAGCTGCTCCTGGCGAGCCGCAGGGTGGGAGGCTAGGGAAAGACAGTCCCCTCCCTCGTGGACTCTCGTTTCATTCCCGGAGTCGCCCTAACCTGCGCAAAGCCAGTGTTCGCCACCTGCGCACGCCATGGATGCCAGTCTGGACGTTGAGCCTACAAAGAGAAGCCTGAAGCTCGGCTACATCGAAATACTGCAGGAAGAAGTGACGAAGAAACGAGACGTGAGTGGGCGATCCCTCGCGCTCTTCCACAGTTCGTCATTCAGCCTCTGGCCAGGAGCCGGTACACTTGCAGTCATTGGATACGAGCTGCTCTCCGAGCCACAATGCCACTGTCACAATAGAGAGCGTGTAGGGATAAACACGGGGCTAAGAGGAGAGCTGAAGTTACAGTCCGCGCTGTGGTTCCGAGGTTTACTCAGAGGGCTTTGAGGCTATGAATGAACAGAACCAAACCAGTTCTGGATCCTCTCACGCGCTGAATGCCAGTGCTGCGTGGCGCACGGCAGGAATTAAAAGCAGCTTTAGAAACGTTGAGCTTCTCTTTCTTCCACACAGAGGCACCAGGAGGGCCGCAAGAGTGAGGAGGAGGCCGAGGATGCGGCGGGGGGGCCTCCGTCCACTGGCTGCAAGCCGTGCAGGAGTGGTTCCTCTTTAACAGTGCCTTACTCCATCCCCCAAGCCCTCACTGTCTCCCCCAGCCTGGGCGGCCAGCCCGTCACACTGGAAATGGCTCTGGTGAGTCCAGCTCATCTCTAAAACATGAGCTGTAAGCCGACCTCGCTCGAAACCACAGGAACACAGGAGCCTCAGAGGCACCGCACAGGGCTCTGCGCGGGGGCAGTGCGTGTTGTTCCAGCAATGCTCAAGGACAGGAAAGGTAATTTATTCATGACCCTCTTAAGCAGGAAATTGAGCGCCATTCAAGGAAAGCTGAAATGGGCACAAAGCGCACCGAGAATCCGATACAGGAAAAGGATGATGTCGGTGCAGGTTGGAGAAAGAGGCCTTCCTGCTGGAAAGGCTGTTTGTGAAGTTCTAGGGTTTGGTTTACTGACATGGAGCCACATCAGGAAGAATTCACTCTGCTTCCTTATTAATAGGCTACTGTACAGGCAACTGTAGAAAATAATGTCATTTTGTATAGAGATATATGCCAGGTAAAACTAATACTGAACATTTTCTGCGGTGGAGACCCTGCAGGTCTCTGATGAGCACTGGGGCTACAGCCCACTTGTCTCTAATCTCTGGAAATCTATCTCAATCCGCTTTCTCTATAGCTGTATGTTAGTCTTCAAGGGATTTTTACAAAAAATCGTAACAGTTGTTTCTTGGTCTTAAAGCTGCCCTTGATTAAACTCTGCAAAGTTATTTTAGAAACGGTTAGGTCTTTTCAGCCAAGCCCTAAATTCAGGTGGCCTTCTCCCCCAATTTGCCTTTATTTTTCAGAATCTCAGGAAGTTTTTGTTTGGAAGCGCTCTTCACGTCTTCAACTATGAATGGAAGAAATCTTACTTCAAGTTCCGGGAGCCCCACTCAGACCTGTCCTACGCTGTGGAAGCAGAACGAGTAGGTTTTTTAAGGCAGATTATTTCTTTAACCTCCTGGCTGATTTACAGCCTAAAACTGAGATTGAGACGTCTTTTCACATGACTCCCTGGGCAAGCAGCAGCTTGTTTCAGCATCAAGACCGAAACAAAATAAGTAGTGTCAACAAATTAAGAACAAACATTAAACGACCAATAGGAATCCATTTCTCTTTGGCAAGAACGGTTTATTAATTCCTGAAAATGTGGTCCGCAAAGGTCACTGAATGGATTCCATTATACTTAAACCCTGTTGTTCTGTTACTGAGCCAGGCAGTGTTTGCACTGTTTCGCCTGACTGTATATATAAGCGATCGCCATCAAAAGCAGTGAATAGAGGCGTGCAAAAACGAATCCCAACAGTCCTGATCATTCACAACAGACAGTGCCAGCTTTACTTCAAGGGCGATGGCATCTTAAAACCGGGACATCTCAAGGCATAAAGATAAAAGGGATATTATAGGGAAAAAATGCATGTTCCTTCTCTCCCATTTGAGATCAAGAATGACCTTGCATTCAATTATGTTCATGCATCCATTATCAGTCACTTATTCCTGGTACGTACCTACAGTAGGGCCTATCCAGGACACACAGGGCACAAGGCGGGATCACACAGTGGACGGGATGCTAGTCCACCACATGTCTACAGAGAGCACTTAGAGACACCAATTAACCCATTCAGCATGTCTTTGAGATGTGGGAGGAAACTGGAGCTCCTGGGGAAAACCCACAGGGACACTGGCAGAACATGTACACTTTGCACAGAACGTCCTCCACCGAGGGAACTGCACCCAGGACACAAGACCGAAGAAGACTAAAGAACAAGTCCATCATTGCCATCAACATACAGCATATGTGCAAAATCAGACTAGAGCTCAGTCCTTCAATATGTGGACTGGATTGGCGGACTGTCTCTGTTCTTTGTCCTTGCAGGGCGGGGCCAGAGCCATCCAGATGGTGGTTCAGGCCAACATCATCAAACACCTGCTCTTCACGAGAAATCAGGGTGCAGAAAACGGAAACTTGCAAAGGTAAGAATCCCTCCAGCAAACACACGCCGACGGCTGATTGTGATCCTGTTCTGATCCAGGGCAATGAGAAAAGAAAAGGCAAAAACGTCCGTTTGTACTACTAGCGCTGACCTGGTAGGAGTCAGCGTAGACGGCTGCACACCGAGAACTGCGGGAGGCTAAATCTCTCCAGCAGGAGCAGAAAAAAGTATCGGAAAACTTCACCGAAATGGGAGGGATTTTCTTCCCTCTCTCTGAAAAGCGAATGCACAAAACCAGCGCTAACGAGAAAAGTGCGAGCCAGGAGGGTCACGCGCGCCTCGTGTTTGTTCCCAGGCTGTATGACGTGGGCGAGAAGGAGCAGGAGAAGGCCCTCGCTGTGGCGCTGACCGATGCTCTGTGGGCGGCTGGAGAAGGCGTGGGCACCACTGTGTGTCTGGTGACCTCGGACTGCTGCTTCACCCCCAGCGTGGACTACAAAGTGGACAACTTCACCGAGAGGGCAAGTAGAAACTGGGACAGACCACTTTATCATGAACCAAAACTTGCGCTGGCAACTCCTGTCCACACAGGTAGTGTCCAGCAGGTGATGGATTTAATGGGAGGACTAGCAGAGCAGAGAGTGGTACGTCTAGGGATATCCTGAGCCACAACTACTATTTTTCTCTTTTGTCGTCGTTAAAATTAAAATTCAGACATTTTACAACAGCTGACAGGGAGTGAGAGTGGAGTTCTCTGCATTTTTTATTTGCATCGTATAAGTGAATCGATTGAAATTGACAAAATATTCATGCAATTTTCCAGATGCAGCTGTTTAGCTTCAATGAGAAAGAAGCCACCTGGTCATTTATCTATGAGCATATCCAATGCGTAAGTGTACATCAGAAATGCCTTCCCAGCACACATTGGTTATTCAATAATTATTTATTGGCTAATATTAATTACAATGATGCTTCTAGAGAGATATCTTCCAAAACAGGCTCTTTTTAAACAGAATAGGACAGAATGCCATTGTTAACATTACGTCATTGTAAATACAGGGTGGAAAACTGAATGTTGCCTTTAGTTCAGAGGATGACATTGTGATTTTAGTTGTTTTTTTTGCTTGTGCTTTGTTTGTTAAAAAAAAGTATAACCGACACTGACTCTGAAGGTTCTTAGCGGCAATTTTTAGTGTTGGCGAAGCATGCTAATTAAAACAGTGCAGTTGGAAATTAGTCTTGTAATTCTTTCTTCCTCTTCCGAGCAGTTTAAAGAGGAAGGAAGCCATGGTGTCATTCTGTTCCTGTACAGTTTGATTTTCTCAAGGACACCAGACAGGTATTTATGAAACAGCGATTTCTGGACATATTTACTGCTGTTACCTAACCTTTCCAGAAACACACCTCCTGCTGATCAGACAGTGTCACACAGATGCTGGTTCAAAGCATCAGACTGAAGCAGCTCTCCACTTATACACTACAAACTATTCACCATTCAGCTAAGACTGACATGTGTTTCGAAATGTTTATTGAGTGCTTAGTCATTCTCAGAGTTGACTCAGCCCTGCTTGGCTGAGGTACAGACCCAGCTGGGAGCTCCTGCAGAGTGAGGACAGGTGAAGATGGGGAGCAAAAGGTTCTATAAAAGATGAGAGGGGAAGAAGAAAAAATTTATTTCTGGTATTTATATTTTTCTTGAAAAGTTACCATGATTGATACAATTTAAGACACCTGAGATGAAAGTAAACTTAGCTGCTGTCTCCCCTCATGTATTCAGTGTAAACTCTGTTTCTGATGTTTGACAAAGTTTTTCCCACCACACGAAATGCAGCGTCTGTGCAGAAAAATTCCGGCCACTCTCACTCTGAAAGAGCTGCACACAGTGTGACCTGCTCGCGGTAGCCTGTTAAAGAGACAGCAGCATTCATATTAATTCATTTTTGTTATATGCTTATATACTAATGATCCTGCTATGTGCTTTTCAACTCAAAGGCTAAGAGACGACCTAGACTTCACCACTCCTCACCTCTTGCAATTAAGTCTGGGAAACTTTGTGTGTCGGCAGGTAATTAAAGGCTTTTTTGTTGCATGAATAACAGCTAAATCTACATGTGATGCTTTGAGTTCTAAATGATTGAAACTCCATTCTTCAAAGGACAGGGCTTTACGTGTCTGAATGGTAGAAATGAAAACATCCCCCCTATTAAGCCATTAAAGCTCAAATCTCATTGACTTCCTGTTTCACTTTTTATAGATATTACATGCAATGTCAGTTGAACCTTTAGCCCTGTGGAGCCGGGCTCAGTGCACTGAGCAGGTAACAGACATGACATCAGCCCTTGAAACCCAGACAGTGCAGGGCTCTGCTGTGACTGAGGCCTGGTCCCGCGACCTGGCGAATGTCGCCGCTGTGTAGCGAACGCTGCAGTGTCCTCTCTGAGCCCCCAAGCGATTGTGATAGAACCCCAGCCGGGGCTTAGCAGAGCTGCACCCATCAGATTTGTCTGTGCACTCTGCTCAGAAATAGCACAGGTGCCTGGCACGTGCACGACCTGGTACAGCCTTTTTTAATACAGAAAAACAGTAACTACCGATGAAAGCAGCAGGGGTTTCATGTCTCCCAGCCTCTGCCTTTTCGCTTGGCTGTCCCAGGCGCTGCTGAACCTGATGCTGACCGGCAGGGCCAGCCCGAACGTGTTCAACGGGGACGTGCAGCACGACGACCAGGGCTGCCTGCTGCCGCAGCCCCTGCGGGGGGTCCTGGCGCGCAGCGACGTGGGATACCTGCACTGGGACCGGGAGCAGCAGGACCAGGACAAGCTGCCAACGGTAACCGCCCACCCCCCCCGGGTCAGCGCCGCGGCCCGTTCACAGGCCCGTACTCCAGTGGGGTTCAACGAGCTCCCAGCATCTTCGGGAAGCTCCTGCACCCCGTGGCTGGCTCACACAAGCCTAGCAGAAGCCCAGCCTAGAATGAAGCAGCCCCATGTCTGCAGTCTGTAGCCCATGGGTCCAATTCAGCTATCAAAACTGGATCAATTTCATCTGATTCTGGCATCCCGTCTTCCGCAGTTAATATTTCTGCCACAGAACCACAGAAGCTGACCGGGTGCCGGTGTGGTTATAACGACGTCTACAGTTAGTGGAAAGGCAGCTTGAAGAATTCCATATGTGGCTGGCTGTGGGTCATTTCGGGGCTGCCTCACATCAGAACCTCAGAAAGACCGCAAAAGAGAGGAATGAGACCTCTCAGCCCATCACCAGTTCCTCTCAGCCCAATAAGCTTCTGCAGTTCTGTTGCTCTATATTTCCATAGAAGACCTTGATAAATCTACCAGAAAGGCTTTTGCACTTTGAACAAGGTTCTTCTGTGGTTTCCACCAGGTTTCAACAAGCCTTTGCTGTGCTTTACCAGACTGGACCACGGGCATACCTTGTTAAATACTTGGACTAAGGTTTCCTGACTCACTTATTTTACCCCCATCCAGCCTACAATGGAAATCACGATGTTGAAATCACAACAGAATTCTGGTAAAACAACCTTGGTTTTTATCTCGGCACCAGACACTTTTAATTGTTTTATTAAGAAGGCACCTGGAGAGCACATGGATGCCGAACTCCTTTTAGGTCAAAAAGACCTGAACTTTTTCTATTTGGAATACAGTATGTCCTGACGAAAACCATATTATTCTTTGACTGGTTTAGAACGGGTCTCTTTTTATCGTTTTCTGGGTCCGAACACACTGTCAAGGAGTTGGGAATTGAATGTTATATATCTGAAAAGAACACTGGAAGTACAAAGAAAGAGAGTAAACTACCCGACATTTTGGCTGTGGATTCTCTTTCATTTGCCTTTTTAGCCATGCCTCAGTCTTTGCTTGTTCCTCTGTGGCTCACATGCTGAGGAGAATCCCTGCTCTGATGCCATGCTTCTGTTGAAGAACACAAGAAAGGTTACAAACGATTTGGCCCATCGTGCCTGTGTGATAGGTAGCAGCTAACTGATCCAAGGAGCTCATCCAGCCATTTCTTGAGAGAAGCCAGGGTATATCGGCTTCAACGACACAAATGGGCGTCTTGTTCCAGACTCCCACAACCCTCTGGGTAAAGAGCGCCTCTTGTTCTGGAGTTTTAAATGCACTTCCAAGTAGTTCCCGCCTGTGCGCTCTTGTCCATGTTTCAGGTGAACAAAATGTTTTTTTGTGTAGAACATGAATGAAACATTTCAGGTACCAGGTAGCTAGTATGAACGACCTGCTTGCACTCAGTTAAACCTTAAAATTGTGTAGGATAGAATTTTAGGGGCGGGCTCCCCAATAGGTTAGTATTATAAAACAAGGACAAACTTCTAAAGACTAACAGAGGTGAGCGAGTTAAAAGCAGACTGTTTCCAGCGGTACTGCATGAGTTGCTAAGCAACAAGTTGTTGGGCTATGATGGGAGCTCTGGAATACCGCTAGCTTTCTATGCTTACACAACCTCCAAATATTTACTTCACAGACGTATTGACTTTTCTTATCGTATTTACTTCTAAGAGCTCTTGAATTCTCCTGCTACATACTGTATGTGAATTTGTGCTGTACAAGGTTTGTCTAACCATGTCGCTATGATCTATGGAGCTGACAACACTGGCACAACTGATTTTCATATGTATCTGCGGCTACAATATGAGTGACGCTGAAGTAGTGTGGGCTATTAGGAGAACAATCCAACTGATCCACCGCTGCTTCTTTCCACTAATTAACAGAACGAAGGATTTAAACTTCTGATTCTATTCCTAATGCAAGACATTGTATATGGCTAATAAAGTGATCTTATCTTATTCTATGAATTCCCCAAAGAGAAAACACAGCAAAACTATTTTGTTTTCAAAGACAGACCCTGCAAGTCCAGCGCGATATGTGAAGATGGAAAAGATGATCGCTTTCGAGAGTGCCAAAGCACCACCACTGCATGAGCTGAGAGATTCCTCCAATTTTTCCCGATCTGTTGCTTTTCATGACCTGGTCTCAGATTTCGTATTTCCTCCTAGGTCGGCAGTATGTTGAAAACTCCAAAACTGCCCATCTGGCTCTGCTGCATCAATGGCACCTACAGCGTGCTGTTCAGCACAAACCGGTCTCTCCTGTCCGACTGGAAAGTGGAGCATCTGTTTGACCTCTGCTTCTACAATGGTCAGCCATCACAGAAAAACACAGTCCTGCTCACTATAGGTAGGCCACTCAGTGTCGGGCACCCTGTGCTTTGAGATGGTGTGGCTGTTGTTGTGTTGTGTTGTGTTGTGTTGTGTGTGGGTAGTGTCAGCAGAAACGTGCTTGATCCAAACATCATTTCGTTTTTTAGTCTCGAACTCCACTGCATAATATTCGGTATTTGATTATAACCGTGATTGTACGAGCAAACATCAAAGGAGATCTCATGAGTGAATCAGTTGGGTTTTTTTCTGTCGCACTCCTGCTGAAAACACAGTTTGTTCTTTCAAAAGCACAGCTGTCTGTCCTCTGCTCCTTGTGCAGAGGCGGAGATTGTCGACAGTATCCAGCCACCATCCCTGGTGCTGGTCACCATCGTAGGTGACGAAGAAAGAAGTTCAGTTCAATACTTCATTCCTCTCCAAGGGGGACAATTTAATTAAAAAAGAACTGGATAACATGGTGCTTTAGAGAAAGGCATGGTTCTAACTCAAGAAAATTGTGAATTGATTGATTGGTTGATTGGACGATTAGTTATTGTTTCTTACAAATTAATTCTGTTGCTCTATTACTCACTTTTTTACATGATAATCAGTTGATGAATTCTTGTATCTTCTATAGATCTAGTTTTACTGATTCACTCCATTTATAGCTTTTTAAAAGTCAGTTGATGTTTAGTTCTTGCTGACTTCCTAATACGGATTTGTGACCGAGATTCGCCCTTTATAAATTCAATTGCTTTGCCGTGAGTCACTGGGAACTTGGGCGTGAGATTTTGGGGTGCGATTCAGGTGTGGCCTGAATACCTGATACGAGACGTGAAAAAAAAATGCTTTGGGTGTCGTCTCTCCCGTGTTTGCGCCAGACACTCATTCTCACCACTGGGAGGAGGAGCGCGGGGTGTCGAAGACTGTGGTCGACCCGGAGAAGAGATTCCCCTCGGTGGAGATGACGATAAGAACGAAGTGGGAAGGAGCGGCCATCGACTGGAACGGGACTGTCCCGTTTTTCTGACCGCACACTGCCACCTTGTGGCGGTCGCCCGTACTCTCGGCCACCTACAGTAAACATCTTTTTTAAAACTCTTTTATTTGAAGAACAAAAATAGATCCGATACAAACAAGAATACATATCACATATCGATGACGCCGTCTGGGGCACATACTATAATACAATTACACTTTATGGAAAAAAAAGTTTCAAACAAGGTAAATAAAGACAAGCTCCGCACAGCTTCCATGCCTGTACCTTTGGAAATAGTCTGCAAACACGCCTTTACGTCTATTGAGGACTGTTCAAACACGGGGCTCTTCCCAGAACATTTCACTATACGTATATAGTGACGTGCAAGTATAATAAGTCAATTTCAAAGGATATTTTCATATTATTTTCAATGGGATTAAAATTTAACATAACGTCTATTTCTTTAAAAGCAATATCGATATTAGCCTCTTTTTTATACAAGTTTGCAGTCCAGAAAGTTTTTACAACAGGACATAATAACCAAAACAAATGTTGGATGTTTCAATGCTACTTTCACAAAAGACACGGTTATCTGTATTAATTTTACATCTCTGCTCAACAAGGGTCTTTACGAGGTAAGTTCGATTCACTATTTTATATGAAACCTCCTTAACCTTATTAGTAATACAATATTTACCTGACATCGTCCAAGTTTTTTTTTCCAGTCAGTTTCCCAAATGAGATATTCCAAAATACTTTTATTGACAGAATATTTTCAACTTGCAAAGGGGATCTTAAAAACGTATAATTACACCCATAACTCAAAATATCCTTTCCTTGTAGTCTTTTACAAGCTGTAAATTGTTCCAGAGCTTCTAATAGACCAGTGCAATTCCTTCGACGAGTCAATACTTCCTGAGGATCGCATCAATTACCAATACAATAATTAATCAGACTTAAAAGAAATATTATATCTGTTCACAAAGTTGGTGTAATTATACAGTATATTTCACCGTCGATATCAATAGTTCAACCCAGTTACCACTTTTAACCCAAATTACAACCCAAAGAACAAGTTTTTATTGCTAACCTTTATATCTCTATATATCTATGAGGGGGAAAATTATGTTTATACATACAGAAAGTGACCGTGTAAGAAGTACTTGTTTATGGAAACTGGCAAGTTTGAAGGGGATTTTCCACCATCAAAGTTACATTCAAGTAAAAACTCCATACTCCCTACTTCTTGAAATATTAAGTTAGGAATTATATACCACATACTTTGCTTATTTTTAAAAAAATACTGCCTCTAGCAAACTGCACGGGGGTGGAAACGGTTTACTGATGGATATTCCAACGCCGGGTTTAAAAACCGGAGTTTCCCTTGTGCGATGTGTTATTTTTAAAATCAGTGACTATTCGACTCCGGTGACTATTGAGCGTAACTGAAATGCCCTGTTTTTAAAATATATTTGTTTTTGCTTTGGGTAAACAAGTTGTTCATTGTTTTGATGTTTTTTGTTTCGCTGTCACACCTCTGTCTTCTATTTTACGAATATGCACATGGTACTGTTCGTACGGCCGTCTTGCTGCAATGTCATGTAAATGGGATCATTAAACTTTCCGTATCGACCCTTTGTGTGTCACACTTGATTTTTAACATATTTCAGTGTCTTATCAAATGATCAGTTTAAAGTCAAAGGGTTTTTAATATTTCCTTTTGTCACGATTTCAGTGTTTACCGAAAAGCGTAAATACCTGTTCAGAGTAAGATCAGATAAGACGGATTTAGAGGTACTGTAATTTCAATATACAATAGCGAATCCTAGCTCGGTCGCAGGTTATGCCTTTGAGTGCATGCAGATATCCTTGATTATAACTGCATAAACGTGCATCGGATTGTATTGAGGAGCAGTCAAGCAGCAAAGACAAAAAAAAAACTACTTAACAACGACGAGTCGCAGGAGGTTAGGCTATGGCAGGTACCCCAAAAGCGCCACCGTGCCGAGCAGAGCCGCCTTTTAAGAAAAAAAAACTTTTTAACATAAAAAAACATAAGATATAATTAATTGCTTAGACTTATATCGCGCTTTTGTGGACACTCCACTCAAAGCGCTTTACAGGTAACGGGGGACTCCCCTCCACCACCACCAATGTGCAGCATCCACCTGGTGGATATAACAAACAAGGGTATAAACATACAGATGCCGGAACATGACAGAACAAAGGGCAACATCAGATGAATGCAACTGCCTCAACACCTGCACAGTCAGCCACTGGAAGGGTGGCTGAACACGCCGGAAATGACGAGGAGCCCCTCTTCCCTTCACCGACCGGGATTTGGCTCCGCCTCCGTGCCGCCCGGCGCAAGGGGGAAACCCCCCGAGAAGTACCGCCCCCTCTCCGCCGACGTCATCGCACGCTCACGCTCTCTGACGTCAGGCCGGCTTACGACGTGGTGTCGGCGTGTGCAGCGACACCCCTCCCTCCCCGCCAGAGCCCCGGGCACGGCGCGCCGTGGAGGGTTGGTTGGGTCCGTATCTTCCCAGCGTTTAGTTCTTATTTTTGCTGCTGCTGTCGTTGTACCAGACGTGTTTTAGTAGGGTCGCCCTCGGTAGCCCCCGGGGCCGGCGGCCTGTGACTCACCCAGGGAGGGGCCGGCGGCATGTGGGACCGGCCGGACCCGTGAGCCAGCTGCTGCAGGGGCTCCCACGTCAGGGATTTCGGGAGCTGCTTGCGCTGCCTGTTTTGCCGGAGGAGGGGAAAAGCGAGCAGCGGGCAAGCCGAAAGAGACGACAGCCACAGACCCAAGAGACGGCCGCTGGAGCTTCGATGGTTTACCCCGCCAGCGATGAGCCGCCCGTCCTCCGCCGGACCCAGCGCGACTAAGACCTGCATCAAGCCGCCGCCGCCGCCGCCGGCTCACCACCCCGCCCCCGCGGCGGCGGCCCCGGTGTCCGTCCGGCCCAGCGCTGCCCTCCCCGCCGCGGCCGCCGTGCTGCCGGGCCCCGTGTCCCCGCAGCACCAGGAGCTCACCTCCCTCTTCGAGTGCCCCGTCTGCTTCGACTATGTCCTGCCGCCCATCCTGCAGTGCCAGGCCGGACACCTGGTCTGCAACCAATGCCGACAGAAGCTGACCTGCTGCCCGACGTGCCGGGGCTCCCTGAGCCCGAGCATCCGCAACCTGGCCATGGAGAAGGTTGCGTCGGCGGTGCTCTTCCCCTGCAAGGTGCGGTCCCGGAGACGGGCTGGTTTGGGCCGGGCGTGTTCACGGGGGTCCGGGGGGGGGGCTGCAGGTTGCACGGTGGAGACCCCCAACCCCCCCGCCCCAAGCAGGTGTATTTCGCCAGGAAGGTCGAGTGAGAACACGTCTTTCCGTTCGCGGTCCGGGTGGCGCTGTGAGCCTGTTTCTGTCCTCCGCCGGGACTCGCTGGTGGGGGTCTGTGTCTTAGACGTCAAGGGGTGTCTCATCGCTGACCCCTCCTTTAGAGAGTAAAGTTAACCAGGGAGTGTGTGAGTCTCGGACACGGTGCTGCCTTTCAGGTACAGTATATTAGGAGAACTGCAGGCCAGCTGGTACTCTCTGACAGACTTGGGGTGACCTATCTCTATGTTTTTGGGGAAAGGGCTAGAAAACCTGACCTATGCAGTGTTTCCCTTCATCAGGGGCGAATTGGTGTGGTGGCTTACTCGTGTGTGCATGGACCCCCTTCGGCCTTTTCAACAAGATATTCCTGTCCAGCGCTGGCCTTTCTATTTCGAGATCCCTGGATGGAGGCTTGTTCAGTTCAGTAACAAGCTCAGGTCACCTGAAAAGGTGCAGCAGACCTTGATTTTCAGAGGTGCCGAGCAGCTGCGCTCCAGTGATGGAAGAAAAGTAAGATAAGCTCACTTTATTGGCCGTATACAATTTCTTGCATCAGGAATTTGTCTTTTCGCAGACCCCAGCCTGCTCTCCATGAGACACACAGACAGGGAGAGAAGCTGGGGGTCAGAGCGCAGGGTCAGCCATTTATACAGCACCCCTGGAGCAGTTGGGGCGAAGGGCCTTGCTCAGGTGCTCAACGGAGGAGGATTCCTTTGCCGGCTGTGGGATTTGAACCGGCAACCTTCCAGCCACAGGCGCAGATCCTGAGCCACAGAGCCACTGCACTGTCCTCCTCCTGTATGTGCAGAAGGGGGGTTATGTAGCAGACACTGCGGAAGTCACTGTTCACTGTTACATAGTCGCTACGGAATGAAAAACACCAACTGCAGTGAATTATCCATATAATATCATTCGTAATCAGAAGGTAGAAAGTTTTCAATTCCTATTTACTTACTGCCAGATTCCTGATAAAGTGCTTATTCTCTTTATTCACGCAGAAAGCAATCGCACACAGACTGCGGACCGCAATTCTGCGGCGGCAGGCGACTGCTGTTTTTAACGGGGTAGGTCTTCAGCTCGGCGCGTTGCTAAGGGAGCGGCTTGTCACTTATTTTTCTCGGAGAAACCTGAAACAAAATCAAATGCCTAAATAGGCCGAATGCAAGTGCTGTGTCTCGTGCTGCTTGTCCTGAAGCTCTTGGCGTCGGGTACCTGTGTCCCTTGGGGTGACGAACAAGAGGGTCTTACAGGTGGCACAGCTTTTAACTGGAGGGTGACAAGACCAGTGCGTTAGTCCCGGGGCTGTGTGTCGTGCTGCCCTGCATCGTTTGATCTTCATTATTTTCTCTGCCCAGTTAAACACAGTTGTGATCTTTCTGCCCACCTTGCCAATGCGCTGTGTCACAAGTCAGACACATTTTAAGATGGGGATTGAGCACAAATTGAGGGAGGGGGGAGAAGAAGGGAGCGAGCCTTTGTTATTTTGGGACTCGGATCATACAGCGTAGTAACTAAAAATTGCTTTAGACGCCTTAATTACTTCAGTTGTTTTGTGTACAGATTGATAGCCAACTAGCAATCAAAAGAATATCCATTAATTGCAATTGTCGCTGTTCTAACTACCCCTGTACGAATCCAATGGTAGGTTCCTCACTGTCCCAGTTATACAAGATCAACATTTATACCATGGTAAAGGTGACATCTCTGTTGATAATCTTGTGAGACCACACACTCTCTGCTACAGATGGTTTCAGCACAGTTAGATTAACCACTGGTGTGTTAAATGCAGGATTAAAACTGTGTGTCTCTCTGGAGTTGTGGAACTACTGTGGATCCACAGTGTTGTTGTAACTGGTCCTGCCCTTTTGCGATCTAGATATATATTTATATCCTTGGCTGATTACATGTGATTTGGTTAAACTATTAGGGGGTAGATTGGAAGACGTCAGGCTCTCTGTTCCAACTTTCCAGCTCAGAGGATTTCTTGTAATCTGGGTTAACCTCACCCAAGAGCACTACAGATTGAGCGCAAATGTTTCATGACAGTTGTTTCCCAGGCAAGTAAGGGTATCTCTAAAATATATGGAAAAATATCTAAAAGTCTCATTCTCATCGAGACCCCTGAATAGCTGTTACCTGAATATTAATGATAAGCTTGCCCAGACGTTTTTAGGTCGCAGATAAGGAAGTTAAGCTTGGAACTCCTTGTGGCTGACCTAGATACAAACCCAGTGATGGAAGTATTCTTTTATCCTTGGCTGATGAGTCTTTAATGCCGTTAACCTGCTGATTGATTTGTTGTTGTTTTTTTTTTTTTTACAAGACGAAGACTAGGCTACTAGAAATAAGCCTGCCTTCATTAACATTGGTCCCAAAAAACAGGCTTTGCCTCGCGTCTGGGAATAGTAGGAGCCAGTCTGCTGTTGCTGTCGCAGGTCTTGATGATTTAGTAGGCCCAGCGAAACCAAGTATGCGGCTTCATGGAAAATTCCGTTTGTGATGCTGAAAAGTAGGAAAAACAAAGCGAAGGTTAGCATGGGACTGGCCTCCGTGCGTTCCCACGCACGCCGCTCTCTGCTCCAGCTTCTTCGGTTTCCGGTGTCTGCCGTCTGTCCGTCCTGGAGCCACAGCCTTTACGGTTTTAAGCTCAGGTAACGGGGGGGGGGGCGGCTGGCTCTCTAACGGCAGCGCTTGTCTCCCTCAGTACGCCTCCACGGGCTGCTCCCTGACCCTGCACCACAGCCAGAAGCCGGAGCACGAGGACGTGTGCGAGTTCCGGCCCTACGCCTGCCCCTGCCCGGGGGCGTCCTGCAAGTGGCAGGGCTCGCTGGAGGCCGTGATGCCCCACCTGATGCACGCCCACAAGAGCATCACCACGCTGCAGGGCGAGGACATCGTCTTCCTGGCCACGGACATCAACCTGCCGGGGGCGGTGGACTGGGTCATGATGCAGTCCTGCTTCGGCCACCACTTCATGCTGGTGCTGGAGAAGCAGGAGAAGTACGAGGGCCACCAGCAGTTCTTCGCCATCGTGCTGCTCATCGGCACGCGCAAGCAGGC